GCGATCGACAAACATGGGGCCACCCTACTGGCCGGAAAGTGTCCAAAGTCTAAGGTTGGGCCAGGGAAAAGTGACGAAACGTTTCGGGCCTCGCCAAAGTCATGAGCAAACCCGCGCACGAAACGGCTACAGCTTGGCAACGCAAGGGGAAAAGAAGTGAGCCGCCCTTGTTGCCTGCGTTTAGTGAGTTCCCCCAATGTTTGATTTAGTCAGTGCCCCAATCTCCCCCAAATTGACAGTGTACTGCTGGATATGACCGAATCATGTGGGCGCGTCCTTTTGTTGAGGGTCTGGCCAAACCGCGCGCGTGGGGTTCCATTGCGGCTCGCCCGTTGCACCGAAAGCACAAGGTGCGAAAAATCATTTTGGTTTGCGCGCGCTTGATCTGACACGCACATCACGACATGCCGAAAATGCGCCTCACAGCGCTGATTTCACAAAGGGAACCATGTTGGCTTGGATAATCACGGGAATGAAGAAGAAACATCTGGTTGAGGGTTCCCCCATTCTGAGTTGAGCTAGAAATCAGGACCCCTCAGTAGGACGCCCTCAGAGACGCATGGGGTTGCACACCACCGACGTGAGGTCTCTACAATTTGCCAAGATACTGTGCATGGGTGCGTAGATTTGAAGGGCATGTTTCGCGATGTGGTTTTAAAGGAAAGCCAAACCACCATGACCTTAGGAACGGGATGAAGTAGGCATACGCAAACCCACCTTAGATGAACCCACCCCAAGCCAGCTTTAAACCAGCTCAACTGACATTAAACACACCCTAAACACACCCTAAACCCACCCACCCTTAAACCACGTCAAAACCGAGCTGCGGCTGTAGTCGATGGCTTTCGGCGCCGAGTCATCACCCCAGACACAGGGCCTGGACATAGCCCAAAGAAGGCTCACATTCTAGGCTAACTTCAGATAAGGCGGACTTCACGTAAGTGGAAAGTGAAGTGAGGCCCACACATATATGGGTGTGGCTTTTTTGGGCTTCATCAAAACCACAACAAGAGGACCTTGACAAAAATCATCACATTGCCCCTGTCACAAGTCCCTGATCCCAATTCTGGATTCTGGGTTGTTTTATCCCTTTTGTCCAGGGCCCCTCGAGTCATTGGAGGGTCAGCAGGGGTCAATCAAGGCACTCAGATGGACAAATCCACTATAGTAAAGGTAACCGTTCTGAGTCGGTTGGCCAGAAGAAGTCCAAACTTTTTGTTTACCATCCGCATGGTGGCGGTCAAACTCTTCAAGAGCCATGGGTTTAATGTTGACCCCAGATCAAAGTAGAACCCGTTCTTTTTCTTGGGGGGGGGGTAGGGGCCGCTCGGGAAGTTTTTGTGGGGCTACGCTAGACCGCACCTCCTGGTCAAAATCCAGGTGGACCAGGGGTTTATTAATCTGGGGTCAGCATTGCTCAACTTCCAAGCAACCGAGAGGGACACCCCAAATAATTTTCTTGCAAAAACACCGGCAACCGGAAGGTAGTGCAAGAAAACAATTGTTGGCACACATTCTCAATCGTTCCCATGTACTTGAGGCGCCGCAAGTAGCTGATTTTTCTTAACGCATCACCCGATACTTGCACACGTCAGATTGGCTACGGGCCAACCAAAAAGCATTCATGGAACATGCTGCACGTCTGCCAAGCCCCACCTCTCCACCACTTCTGGTGCCACATCGGGCGGGAGCTCCCCTTCACCTTACGAGCATGTGCGCAAGGAAGCTTGGAAGGATTCCTCTGCCTTTTTTTGAGGGAAAATATGCCCCAATGTGTCCTCATCTCTTAGTGCTTGAACTGAGGAAGATTCACAAGGAAAGTAGGCACTATCCACTTTGCACTACTGTTACTGTCGATGGACACAATCCACATCGCATCGGTTGAGCTGGATGGAACCATTTGAAATTACAAAATACGGGGATTGTGTCCAATCCCAACTGATGCAGATCGATCGCCGATTCCGATTCCGGCAGCCCTCAGTCAGCCTTTCGGAAGGTCACCTATGACTATATACGTATGGCTCAAATCAGGAAAACCCAAAACACAACAACCGTCGAATCGCATTGAGCAAGCGAGGTAGTGAGGCCCAAAACCCTTGCAGTCCCGGTGCCTCAAGCGACATTCTGGGGTGCCTCCAAAGATATAATTGCTCCATCACCTCCCAACAAACACATTTCCGCGGTGCTGTAAAGCCATTTGATGAGAGTTAAACACCTTAATTAGCAGAAACTCCCTTACCTCCCCATCAATCGGGGTTCAGTGAAGCGTTCTGATCCTGGGCTAACCTTATAAACTCCCTTGACTCGTGCAAATTGACTGGTTGGACGATCCGGTTCTCAAGGCACCACACTTGGAATCCAAGTGAAGCCGTTGGGGTTTCCAACCGTGTGCCTGGAAAAGCTTCAATGATTCAGTAAGGTTCTAAGAACCCTTCTTGTGTTGTGTGCCACTAGGCTTCCCAGTCTGCACTTCCCTCATTCGATCCGGATTTCCTCTAAAATGTGACTCCTATCAATGATTAACTCGTTTTAGTTGTTTCAGAACCTCCAGTAAGGCATCCCCAAGCGGAACATCATGGCCTTCCCTCAATTCACCCCCTGCATCAAGAATCGGGCGCCTTGCCGCGAGAGGCGTCGGCACAGCGCACTGAAAACTCCCAGCCAGCAGCCTAGTCACCGGGTGTTGAACACCTTCCAATTGTTTTTGCCTTAGGGGAAACTCCATAGATTCCCTCCAATACTAGCGGAGAAAATAACAGTAATCTGAAGAAACTGGAAGATACTGATGGACAAGAACCAGTGGGATTGGCGGTGTGTCCCAGTTTTCATTAGAGTTTCATCCATCCCGAATCTCAAGCGAGGGAGTTTGTAATCTAGAAAAATCCGTAATCCTTGCTGCAAATTGTGGGTCCACACTGTTTGTTGGAGCATTGAAAATCCATGCAACCCATACTCTGCAATCCGCAAACCACACAATCTAATCCGTAAACCGGATAATCCGCACTCCGCTAATCGTTGAGGATTGGGCTTTGAACAAGCTAGAGGATACGCCTAAAAGGTCACCTGGCAAATGCGGTTGAAACCGTTGAAACTGCTGTGAGAGGCGGTTTTCAATATGGCTGGCAATGCTGGCAATGGTGGCACGTTTCAAGGAACCCTCTTGAGCATAGCTGAGTTGCGCCGGACCATGAAACGGCGCCAAACACCAGCGGAATTCATCGGTGTTCAAATCCCCATCCCCAATGAGCAAAAGCATGAGGCGCCCCTCCATACAGAACATTTCCCGTGAACACAAAAAGGGAAAATGTACGGGGAATGATTCTGTGGAATGTGTTCAACTAAACTGACCTATGAAAGGACACCAATCCTGGCTCCTAGAGAGTGCTTATAGCATCTCAAGCTCGTACTTGCACGGGACATGACGGGCATGGTCCCAGCAACAAGGTTTCTGCACAATTCAAATCAGTATGCTCTGACCCATTTCTTCTGGGCACAAGCCCCTCCCTGCCTAAGCTTTTGGCCCTAATGACTTGTTCCACTCCTGGGCTGCAGCTTTTGTCCCATACCCTCTCCACATCGTTGGGTGAATCTTGTTTTGTGCTTGCTGACCCCAGCTTTAGCAAAAGCAACATGGCTGACTGCTAACTTGGGATGGAGGACCCTGCTGATCAGTGAGTGGGTTTTCATTTGGTGATCCTCATCTGTTCTTGGGGTTTCCCTGGCTAATCGGGTCCGGGTGAATCTGAAGTTAAGAATACAACATGTACGAGTCTATATGCCGAAAGAGGTAGCAACAGGCCATCGTTAAGCCCCGGGCGCATGCTGAGCTCGCGCTGGGGGCGGATCGCTTTCTGCGCCAGCTTGTCAGTGGTATATTTTTTTTATGGTTCCTGCGGATTGATTGGGACAAAGTCAGGGATTTCCTGACAAAGGTGTTGTGGAAGTCATTCAGTTCACCTATCTGTTCAGGCACTTTGAGCCTTCAAAGTTCTTGAGCATCCCTCAGGTATAGGGACCCTCTGGTTTGAGTCCCCGCTGGCGTCACATCGAGCCAAATGTGCAACATTCCGGAGCAGTGCTTGTGCACCTGGTGACAAAGTTGGCAAAGCACGGCCCCAAATCCATGAACGTCTGGTTCAACAAACCCGGGTACAAGGTTTATGAAACTCGCTGCTTAAGCTGGAAAATCCAAATCACTGCCTAGGAGAAGGGTGGCAGTCGCCGAGCCACTCAAGTCTTTAGGATGCACATCCGAGCTCACATTCACAATTCTCCAGATTGTTGCATGGACCCTTTTTAAAGAACATGATCAATGGTGAGCGTCCTAAGGGCCCTATGAAAAGAGGTGGCTTTGACCCAGGTGTTTATCAACGAATTATCCATCCCGCTTTAACTTCCTTCCCGGGAATGTTAACAAACAGGGTCTATGTGGCCCCCAGCTACTGTGGTTACACGGGCATTGTTGAGGCAGCAAAGGCCGCTTGCGCTGCAAAGGGCCCCTTCCTACTTGCTGAGCCCTACCCAGCTGAGCGGTCCACCGAAACCAGAGGGTGTTACAAAGTACAATAATTTGTCAAAATGTCTCCCCAACCTAGGGCCTAGGACCTGCGGTCCTATCTACCGAGATTTGCCAAACAAGTCTACCCTGTTTGCTTACCACTAAATTGCCGTCCCAAGAAAGATACGAATTCTAATTGTTTGGGACCGTGCGTTTCTTGAAGGAAAGCCAGCCAGGTACAAAACCTGTCGAGGGGCCTAAGGGTTCAATGCTGGGAATGGGGGGGGAGGGCAGTCTGTGCACTGCAATCGGAGCCTTGCAAGGACAAACTTTGCGTTTCCAGCTTTTGGCGGCATTTCAGGACGAATTGTGAGGCTCAAGTTGTTGGCTATAACAGGTTTGTCAAAACCGCAATGGAGGGAATGTCAAAAGGGGTCGCCGCCTCTCATGAAAAAAGATAAAAAAAACACAGTGCCGGCGCGCGAGGCGGCCGTGTCTTTTTCTCTGCAACTGTAGGTTTTTCGACTCACAGGTCCAGGCCCTCGGGCAGGGCCTGGAAGCTGGCAAACGGCGCATGCCACGGAGGGCCAAAACACGTCTCGACTTTCTGGAACCCCCACTGAAGTCAAACCCAAACAAGGGTTCACATTGGAGCCCAACACCCGGAAAACGTTGTACAGCAACTGCGCCGAAACCCCTCCTGCACAAGAAAGAATCTTAAGCGAAACTGGAAAAGGAAGTGTAGGGATCTGAGGTTTCTCGAGTTCGGTGCGCAACATGCAACCTAAACTAGACCACGGTTGGCCCGAAAGCATAACATCGCAAGCGAGGTCGGCCCAACGCTGCAGGATGCGTTCTTTTTCCCTACGCGAAGCATTCGTGAAGCAAGCGCAAGACAGCACCAGGCAAGGTGCTCTGCGCAAACTGGTCGGTGCAAGTTGGTCTGCGCAAGTTGCTCTACGCAAGTTGCACAGTGCAAGTTGCTCTGCGCAAGTTGCTCCGCGCAAGTTGCTCCGTGCAAGTGGGTCCCTGCAAGTGCCTCCCTGCAAGTTGCTCTGTGCAAATTGCTCCGTGCAAGTTGCTCCCTGCAAGTTGCTCTGTGCAAGCTGCTCTGTGCAAGTTGCTCTGTGCAAGTTGCTCTGCGTAAGTTGCTTTGCGCAAGTTGCTCTAGGCAAGGCGCTCTGTGCAAACTGGTCGGTGCAAGTTGGTCTGCGCAAGTTGCTCTACGCAAGTTGCACTGTGCAAGTTGCTCTGCGCAAGTTGCTTTATGCAAGTTGCATCTTGCGACGCCCGCCCGCGGACCAGGGAGGAATCGAACCCGCGACCCGCCGGTCCCGGGAGCAGGCGCGCGAACCACGAGACAACTCCCGAGGACCAGTTCGAACAACAAAAGTCGCAAACAAACCTCGAGTTTTTGCACCTCGACCACGCCGATTCCCGCAGAGTTGCGTGAGCACCGCAGAAATCGCAAAAAACCTTCGAGTTTTTGCACCTCGACCACGCTGATCCCCGCAGAGGGTCGCGCGGGATCTTTAGAAATCGCAAAAAACCTCGAGTTTTTGCACCTCGACCACGCCGATCCCCGCAGAGGGTCGCGCGAGCATGTTAAAAATCGCAAAAACCTTGAGTTTTTGCACCTCGATCCCCGCAGAGGGTCGCGCGAGCATGTTAAAAATCGCAAAAACCTCGAGTTTTTGCACCTCGACCACGCCGATCCCCGCAGAGGGTCGCGCGAGCATGTTAAAAATCGCAAAAAACCTCGAGTTTTTGCACCTCGACCACGCCGATCCCCGCAGAGGGTCGATTTTCGTGTAGTGTCGTCGGCACTACCCCGCCGCCCTAAGAAGAGATTTTAACTCCTCGCAAGTCAATTGCACTTGACTCCTTGCACTTGCAACTTGCACTTGACTCCTTGCACTTGACTCCTTGCACTTGCAACTTGCACTTGACTCCATGCACTTGCAACTTGCACTTGACTCCCTGCACTTGCAACTTGCACTTGACTCCTTGCACTTGCAAACTTGCACTTGGCTCCATGCGCTTGCAACTTGCACTTGGCTCCATGCACTTGGCTCCTTGCACTTGGCTCCTTTCACTTGCAACTTGCACTTAACTCCGTGCACTTGCAACTTCCACTTGACTCCATGCAATGACTCCTTGCCATGACTCCTTGCAATGACTCCTTGCAATGACTCCTTGCCATGACTCCTTGCCATGACTCCTTGCAATGACTCCTTGCAATGACTCCTTGCAATGACTCCTTGCAATGACTCCTTGCAATGACTCCTTGCAATGACTCCTTGACTCCTTGCAATGACTCCTTGCAATGACTCCTTGCAATGACTCCTTGCAATGACTCCTTGCAATGACTCCTTGCCATGACTCCTTGACTCCTTGCAATGACTCCTTGCCATGACTCCTTGCAATGACTCCTTGCAATGACTCCTTGCAATGACTCCTTGCAATGACTCCTTGCAATGACTCCTTGCAATGACTCCTTGCAATGACTCCTTGCAATGACTGCTTGCAATGACTGCTTGCAATGACTCCTTGCAATGACTCCTTGCAATGACTCCTTGCAATGACTTTCATGAGAAAGTCAAATCAAGTGAACCCAGCGGAAGAACCCTTCGCCATGCTTTCGGGAAAAGGTCCCAGAAGGAGTCGCGGGTCTAACGTGCTGAGGGTTGAGGGAGAAACGTGTTTGTCAAAGTGAACTCCCCGTCTTGAATGGGTCAGATTGCTGAATGATTCAGACTTCTCAGTTCAGTGCATACACCAGGGGGCATACACAGCATCCCACCCACATGGAACCTGAGTGAAACCTCCACAACAATTCCTTCGAGCGGGTCTCGTGTCGGTGTCTGTTGAGGACAACCTGTTCAGCTAAGGGAACCGAAAGATTTCGAGGGTCCCACTATTCTGACACATGTAGTATACAGTACGCACATGTCAAGGGCATTTTCAGGTACTGGTTTTGGAGGTGTAGGGAGCAAACACTCCCTCACAAGCTTATCCTGGTGGCTTGTTCAGCATCCATACCTCCAAGCCTGGAAACCCAAGCCCCATTCGTTCAATGGCTCGAGTCGCGACCGGACAGGGCTGCGTTTAGGGACCAGGACGGCGCGGAAAGAAACGGATAGCCTTTTTGGGTTGGCTTTGAGGGAAAGCAACAGGAAGCCAACCATTTTTTGGGGTTTCTGGATTTGAGACATACCCATGTCCAGCAGTGTAGACTCCCTTTAAAACTGACAGGGGCCAGTATTCTTAAGTAACATGAAGAAGGGAAACTCATCTTAAATGAACTGGGCCAAATTGGTGGGTGATGCTTAACCCCCCCCCCACCCCCAAGAAAACAAGAAAACAACAAATTGTAGGGATTCGTGCATTACCCCACCCCAAAGCCGATGTTGCTTCAAACCTATCACATTAGATGGCTGTGACAAAGGTCCAGCCTGCGGCGCGTAACCTGCGGCCTGCAGACTTTCAGACTGTGAAGCTGTGAGCCCCGTTTCAAAGATACCCGGGCACAACATGTGTGGGAGAGTGTGCGTGTGTGTGGATTTTAGGTGCCCCTTTGGGGGTGGAGAAGGATCCAAACATATGCTTATTTTTGGCGGAGCCCCCGATTTTGGCCCCAAATCCATCCTCACCCACTGCAAAAACCATGGGAAAAACTAGTGGAAACCAAAGGACACCAAACGACCGTCCCCAACCAGAATTCCTCTCCGAAAGGCTCCCTCTTTGAGTGCAAATTCGGATGCCCCCAGCTCCGGAACTGTTTTTTCCAATCAGCAGCTAGCAAACCAACTATATTACCCTTGAGGGTTGGCCATGTTTGTCCCAAAGGCGTAATGCGCCACCCGTGGAGGTTTCCCCCGTTTTGAAAAGCCCGGTGCTTTGCATGAGGTCTTATTTGACAACCTTGTTGAAGGGCCTGTTCCGCTAAAAGTCATAGCCACTTAAGTTTACGAACTGTCTGAGCCAACGCAAACTCAAAGGAATCTCAACGCCTGGGTTTTATTTGCGGTGCACTCACCTCAATGAAGCGGTTCGACACCTGTCAACATTTCACGGGAAATCTGGGAGTCCCATCAAAGTGCCCTAATTGAGTAAGTGTGACAATGTGTAAGTGTTTGTGTGTTTGTGTGTCTGTGTGTCTGTGTGTGTGCGCGTGTGTTTCTGCGCGTGCATTTCCTCATGTGCGCGGGCATCCACATGCGTAAGCACGTGCGTGGGTGGGTGAGTACGATATATAGAGGCCCGTGCGGGGGCCACGGTGCGCTTGCGAGAGCGATAGGTTTGCCGGCCTTCGCCGGCGCTGGCTTTGGCGCTGGCTTTGGCGCTGGCATGAGCTCCACTGGGCCCTGGTTGGGTGTCAGCTCCAAAATCTTCTCCTGCGCATTGCAAGCTGAGACGTGGAAGGCAGAGTTGAGCTAACACCTTGCTTCAACATGTTTTAGACACTCTTTCAACAAGCTCCTTTGGGTTTCCCTTGCAAGGGCTACGGCCCGTGTGTTTAACCAAATTTTGCCCGCCGCAACAGAACACACGACATGAGGCAGGCTGAGAGGAAACCAGCGATTTGGGGGCGAGCTGAGCGGGTCTTGACATCTGGCATCTGTCGCTAACATGGTCGCCCACGGGCCACCGAGTTTGCGGGAGGGCCCAAATGAAACAAACCAAGATTACCCCCTTCAGATTCACATGGCACCCAACAAACGCGATTTGCAGAGGAATCTCCTTTTGGGGGAGCCTTTTTTGGGGTTACCTGTCAATTTGTACCGGGGGCAAGCCCTTCTGCTCAAAGTCAACCCGTCAATTGACTAACAGCCGACTTCCTTCGGCCCCTGCGGGTATCTCCAAAAAAGTGTTTCGACCCGTGTTTCATGCATGGCCAAAGCAACCAAACCGACACCAGCAATTTTTCCAGACGCCGAGCCATCTCTTTCCAAGCGGCCAGTATCTTCTCCAGCCGCGCATGTTTTCTTTCTAGGACTTGGAGATTTTCCTTGGCCACCGATACAATTGGCCATATGGCTCGGGTTGCCCTGCAATCGAGTGAATCACGTTCTATCAGTCCAGTTTGCAAGTTGAGGGGCTCCCCCAAAAGGAAAGCAATCGACCAATGAACGCGCTGCATCCAGTTTGCAAGTTGAGGGGCTCCCCCAAAAGCAAAGCAATCGACCAATGAACGCGCTGCATCCAGTTTGCAAGTTGAGGGGCTCCCCCAAAAGCAAAGCAATCGACCAATGAACGCGCTGCATCCAGTTTGCAAGTTGAGGGGCTCCCCCAAAAGCAAAGCAATCGACCAATGAACGCGCTGCATCCAGTTTGCAAGTTGAGGGGCTCCCCCAAAAGCAAAGCAATCGACCAATGAACGCGCTGCATCCAGTTTGCAAGTTGAGGGGCTCCCCCAAAAGCAAAGCAATCGACCAATGAACGCGCTGCATCCAGTTTGCAAGTTGAGGGGCTCCCCCAAAAGCAAAGCAATCGACCAATGAACGCGCTGCATCCAGTTTGCAAGTTGAGGGGCTCCCCCAAAAGCAAAGCAATCGACCAATGAACGCGCTGCATCCAGTTTGCAAGTTGAGGGGCTCCCCCAAAAGCAAAGCAATCGACCAATGAACGCGCTGCATCCAGTTTTGAGGGGCTCCCCCAATGAAGCTGCACAGCGCTCGGACCAATGAACGCGCTGCATCCAGTTTGCAAGTTGAGGGGCTCCCCCAAAAGGAAAGCAATCGACCAATGAACGCGCTGCATCCAGTTTGCAAGTTGAGGGGCTCCCCCAAAAAGAAAGCAATCGACCAATGAACGCGCTGCATCCAGTTTGCAAGTTGAGGGGCTCCCCCAAAAGGAAAGCAATCGACCAATGAACGCGCTGCATCCAGTTTGCAAGTTGAGGGGCTCCCCCAAAAGGACAGCAATCGGCCAATGAACGCGCTGCATCCAGTTTGCAAGTTGATCCCAAAAAATCCAGCAAAAGGAAAGCAATCGCCAATGAACGCGCTGCATCCAGTTTGCAAGTTGAGGGGCTCCCCAAAAGGACAGCAACCAATGAACGCGCTGCATCCAGTTTGCAAGTTGAGGGGCTCCCCCAAAAGGAAAGCAATCGACCAATGAACGCGCTGCATCCAGTTTGCAAGTTGAGGGACTCCCCCAAAAGGAAAGCGACCAATTAACGCGCTGCATCCAGTTTGCAAGTTGAGGGGCTCCCCCAAAAGGAAAGCAATCGACCAATGAACGCGCTGCATCCAGTTTGCAAGTTGAGGGGCTCCCCCAAAAGGACAGCAATCGGCCAATGAACGCGCTGCATCCAGGTTGAAAGTTGAGGGGCTCCCCCAAAAGGAAAGCAATCGACCAATGAACGCGCTGCATCCAGTTTGCAAGTTGAGGGACTCCCCCAAAAGGAAAGCGACCAATGAACGCGCTGCATCCAGTTTGCAAGTTGAGGGGCTCCCCCAAAAGGACAGCAATCGGCCAATGAACGCGCTGCATCCAGTTGCAGTTGAGGGGCTCCCCCAAAAGGAAAGCAATCGCAATGAACGCGCTGCATCCCAAGTTGAACGCAATCGCAATGCATCCAGTTTGCAAGTTGAGGGGCTCCCCCAAAAGGACAGCAATCGGCCAATGAACGCGCTGCATCCAGTTTGCAAGTTGAGGGGCTCCCCCAAAAGGACAGCAATCGGCCAATGAACGCGCTGCATCCAGTTTGCAAGTTGAGGGGCTTCCCCAAAAGGACAGCAATCGGCCAATGAACGCGCTGCATCCAGTTTGCAAGTTGAGGGGCTCCCCCAAAAGGAAAGCAATCGACCAATGAACGCGCTGCATCCAGGTTGCAAGTTGAGGGACTCCCCCAAAAGGAAAGCGACCAATGAACGCGCTGCATCCAGTTTGCAAGTTGAGGGGCTCCCCCAAAAGGACAGCAATCGACCAATGAATGCGCTGCATGAAGTCCTTTGCTGTCGTCGGAAAGTTGTCTGATACTAATGAAACGGCTCGACGCCCAATCACAAACCGGAGTTCCCAGTGCTTTCGATTTGTCAGACGCCCAGCGTATTACACGCCGCCTTCAGGATTTGGGGGCTTGAAACATGGGATAGCACCCGTTCACCTCCGAACCACGAAGCCAAACCAATAAATGCCCCGATTTGCTCAGGGATCCTTCTTTTGCAGAAAACCGCAGCAACACTTTTGAAAAACAAATGAAAACTCTTCGTTTGGAGAAAGCAAACCGATTGAAAGAATTGGAAGTGGAGTCAACCCCAGACATCTGCACTTTGGAGGCCAACCTCTGCCACCGTACAGCAAGGAAGCCGATCTCATGTTTCAGGGCTATTGGTAGGGACGGTGGCAGGAAACACACAGCACCCTGCTGATGTCGCCCCGGGATGTCTCAACAAATTGGAACACTAGCCAAACCTAGGGAAACCTTCAAAGACGTCACAAAGCCCCCGGTGGGTAAGGGAAACCTGCTCAAGAAAGGAAGTGTCGGGCAGTTCTGGGAGAGCAGCCCCTGTCCCCTTTCTGGTTGAAAGCAGCCAGTTATCGACACACCTTGTTTTGCTCCTCTGCAAATTAACAGTTGAACACACAAAGAGGGTCCCTCAATAGGAGCTTTCTCTACAAGTCATGGGTTGGTGGGTTCCAAGTGAATCTGCAGGATGATGCATCGTGCAGGTTTGATTCTGCTGTCAGTTGAATGAACAATGGGAAGCAACAGGCTTTGTAAAAGTGAAACAGTCGCTAAAGCAGAAATGAAACGCTGTGGAATCCGCGAGGCAATAGAAACGACAAAGCACATACGAATTCGTTCCCTCACATCCCGGCTTCTTTCAAGGCCACAATCCACCCCCTAGAAGGCTGTCAAAACTGTCACAGCCAAAATTGGCCTTGTTTGGCCTGACAAGGGGTCTGTGAGCTTCAACATCTAAGGTATGGGAGTTCCATTTCCAAGGAAGAGCATTCATCAAAGGCATGAGCTAGTCTTGCCCAAGGATAGGTACAGTCTTGTGTCAAAACTAAGGCACGCCAGGCACCTCTCAAACTGGTTGGCTTCACATGGAAAAACGGAATTCATAATTTCCGCGAGCTCTACTTTCTAACCTGAAACATGGGGTGACAAACCAGATTGCATTTTGCCTCGTGTCACTGGGCCCATTGTGACATCCTAAAAACATCATTGCCCTCCAACTGGGTGTCTTTGTTGAGGATGTTCTTTTTGGCTTCCCCTCAAAAGCAACAATCAGGAAGTATATGCTCAAAAAATAGATACCCAAGTAGTGGGAGGGACCCCCAAACCAAATGAAAGCCCGGCAAAATGATGTCGACAGCCATGGACCCAGTATCACTTCCCATCTACACGCTTCCCCCCACATTCGGTTTAGTCCGAAACTCCGCGATGGCTTCCCGGAAATCCTTGTCCTCCTCCGGGGCAAGGAATATCACATCACAACGGTAAAGGAACACGTGTGTGTCTGTGTATGGTGCGCCTGAAACAATCATTGCAAGTGGGCATTCCCAGCCATTTTCCATCAAGCAGGTTTAGAACATAGTTGCTTGATTCCTCATGACCTGTAAGTTGCTTCAGATTCCAGGCGTGCCCATCTAAAAGAACCACATGTGCTACCTTTGGATACAGCCAAATCGATTGGCTAAAAGTAATTGCCCAAAGGGCCCGAGGGCGTCGTAGAACGCTTTCGTCGGGTGCCTTTTGCAGTTTGGTTGCAAGGCAATCCCAAAATATCCCAAAGAAAACCCACAACTTCTCCTTGGCCCATACTCAGAGATAACTGCTCTGACTCTGTGCCTCCTGTTTCTTATTTAGCCTACACCAACATATAAAACAGTTCACCAACATATAAAACAGTTTTGACATGTTTTGACACATACGGCGCTTGGGAAGTCCCAAGCCGATTGCCTCCTCCGTAAGGAAGTTGTAGAGCTCCGTGTTGGACCGCTCCAAATGCTCGATGGCCTTCTTCTCAAGCGCCTGAGGCTGAGACCACCCCAATTCTGGCCCACCTATTCTGTGGCAGATCTCCACTTGTGTGCTGACTGTCTGGTGGCAATAATAATAGTAGCACTAGTAGCAGTGGTATTGGCGGCAATTTCCCTCTCTTCCATCTTCTCGCTGTGCCCTTCCGCCATCGCCTCTAGGTCTCTCAGCTCCCGCAGGTCCTCCGGCAGCCCATCCTCGTCCAGCCTCGAGGGCTCCAGGCGCCCGTGGATCCCGCGCTTGGGGATGTGGACCTGGAGTGGACCCTGAAAAAGCAGAATCCCTCGAGCTTTTGGGCTTGGGGGTTCGGCTGAGTTCGGCTCCTTTGGTCTTGGTGAGTCTTGGTGGCAAATCTCACTTGCAAAAGGACCCACAAATCAGGTTAACCTTTGCCACTGAATATGGATCATAACTGGAAAACCCTAAGGCGAACAGGTCGAGACGCGTTGGGCAACTGAGGTGCTGGACAAACTCTATGCCAGGCATGAGTTTGGATTGTTGGTTCCAAGAACTCATAGTGCATCCATCCGAATTAGTGCAGGATCTTGTCTGTTCACAGTAGCCTTCTTACGGGAAAGAAGACCAAATAATATCTTTCTTTGGGACTTTTGAAGGGGACGCTAGGCACCTGCAGAAATTCCCCCTACCCATTCTGAAACTCACTGGGCAAAAACGGTGGAGTTGCGGCCCCCCATGCAAAGGGAAAACTCTGGAACAAGTCCGGAAATCGGCACACAAAGTTTGCGGATTTGGCCAGCTCCAAATGATTCTGGTTTTGCAAATGGCCCCGCATCCCATGAAATTTTGGGGGTGTTGGGTTCGGATGTCTTTTCCTTTTGGAACAGGTTGCATCCAAACCTGCAAACAATCGAGATTTCAAAAACCACAACTGGCTGGACCCATGCAAATGCACAACGATGCATCTGTCAGAAATAGAGGGGCACATGGCTGCCTCATGTGGAGAAGTTGCACCGACAGGCGGAAGTAGCTCCCCGCAACCGCAGCCCCCCGTCCGCCTCTACCATGGCTGTGCTCACGTGCTGTGCGGTAGCCAATGCTTCTCCAACAAAAGTGTTATACAGTTGTGCAGGGTCCAAGCGATCAAATGAATCCAAAGGCTGCCGTTTTTCCTACAAGGCTTTGCTCCATTCGCTGTCAGCTGCGCTCGCTAAAAGCAAATCGGCTGCAGCGCTTGCATGGGAACACATCTCATGATATCTTATGTGCCATGGTCATGAGTCATAGCTCCTTGTGTGCGATGGTGTCATGGTCATGTTGTTACTGGGAACCTTTATCATGGTCTTCCAAACATCCCTGCCAAAAGGTCCATGATCATCCTAGTAAACCCAAGCAAAGGGTGTTTCGAGGTGTTTCGACCATGGCAACGGGGCTATCCCATGCTTCTCTTGGCGGTTGTGGGGAATCCCGCTGCTCAAAACCAAAGTGCTTGCAATGTCAACCAACTCTGAACGATAACCTCCCACCCGCTTGCGTGCAGTCAACCAAGACCCCCGGTTCAGGTTCCATGTTGGTGGATGTGAGGGTATCTGCTGACTGACCATCCCTAGGCCGTCGCTTTTCACAGCCTGCAGCGACCGCATGCTGACAAGCTGAACCCTGTACAAAGGCACACTCAAGCTCTGTACAATATTATGCTGCCGAATGGGATGGTTGCCTCAGCATGCGCTCTTCAAAGCCTTTGAAGCTTCTGCCTGTTCCCCCAAGATCCAGTGGTTCCGACAGGGGCGCCATACCGTTGACAACCCTCCCTCATGAATTAGCATCTGACTCACCTCTAAAGCTAGCTGAATTCAATGCAAGAGAAGAGCCGCTGTGTTGCGGGGTGCTCGCACTTGGAGACCGTACGCCATTGAGAGTTCGTCTTTTGACACACACACACCAACCTAAGGCATACTGTTTGGGTAAGGTTTAGCAACCATGGTTATGATCCATTCACCGAGGTGGGTGATGTTGTCAAAAGCCTCACGGGCGCCCTCACTACGATGCAAGTGGCTCCGCAGGACAAATGCGCCGCAATTCTAACAAGCAGGCAGGTCCCTTCAGGTACTACCTGCGCGTGCCGTGAGACATGCCCTAAGAATAAACTACAATTGATCACATAATGGTAGCAAACACTCACTTAGCGGTTGTCTGAAACTCCTCGATCCAGGAAACGCCATCACCGCGAAAAAACACAAAGAAAGCTTATGCAAGTCCAGCGCATGGCCTTCCCATCATATCTCACTACAAGAACCTGTACGCTTGTATGCATCTATGTCTGTATGCATGCATGTACGCATCTATGTATGTATGTATGTATGTATGTATGTATGTATGTATGGATGGATGGATGGATGGATGCATCTAAGCATCGATGTACCCGTGTATCTATGTATCTATGTCACTTTGCATCTCTGCACCTGTGTCTACGTACATACGCAGAAACGCATGTATGTATGCATGCATGAACGCATTAATGCATATATGCATGTATATATTTAACGTATGCATGTATGTATGTAACGTATGTGTAACCTGTGTACTTGTGTATCTTGAGGCGGCAAACTCCAGGGGCACGTGGTCAAGCCGCATTGCTAAGCTGCTTCTCACTTCATGGCTAGGCTCACTCGCCACTTGTCCTTCCCTCGGCTCGCCAGCCCGCTTCCGATTGAGCCTCTGCTCATTGGTGCTTAAGCCTGTTGGAAAAAGTAACACATACATCCAGTAGCGATGTTCCCTTTAAAACCAAGAGAAGGGAACAGCAACTGGAAGAAAAGGGATGCTGTCGATGGAAACAAAAATGGAGCGTGTTGTTTTTGAGGGTACCCTCGCTGGGATTGTCTTAAAGGGAAACCTGGAGCCACACCCAAATCCACGCCGGGCACCAGTTGGATTGAAACCCTAGAACTGAGATAAGCCATCAGGTTGGATTTTGTCCATCAATGCCCGACTTAACATTGACAAACACCCTTTGCCAGACCCATGGGAAACCAACGGCCAAATGGGAGGTTCTGCCACGCTCGTGGATCAAGCCCGGGGATGGGTTCGTGGACAGTGCTCCCAAATGATAGCTTTGCCTGCTTCGGATTCATGCAACAAGCTTGCCAAAGTGGGCATTCCTCTTTGGTTTAATGCAGCGATTCCTCTATTTGCGTGTGTTTCAGTCTCTGGACAAAAACTAAGAACATATTTCCAGTCAAATCGAACAGCTTCAAACCGAAAGGGAAACATAACGAGTCTTAGGAAAGAAGTTTGAAGCCCGGGCCCCAAGTTTGTGCCAGTTCAGTCTTCAGACCTCAGCTCCAAGGTCAAGCCATCCCTCTGTCGAGCAGCCCTTCTCTTGCCGGCGTTCCGTAGACCTCAGGCAGGTCGTGCGGTTTTTGCATGGTCTCTGCAAAGGGGGCCGACCAAAGGAATGGCGACCGTCCCCTCTTGCCCTGAAGCCCATCTCAGCAGGCGTGAGAAGAACAAAAACACTTTTTGTTAGCATGCGAGGCTATTTTGAATCAGGCGGGGATTTTAAGAATGGGGTGCTATAGCAAATGGCACGACGCTGATTCCGTTCAAGAGCGAGCAGCCCGGTCCCAATCCTTCGGATCTACTCTGCACCAGAAAGTTATGCCATCTAAGAATCTAATCTGGGTGAATTTTAATACTTCACCAGCCTGAAATAAGGTGGTTGGGGGGCCATTCCCCACATAAACCACCATTTGGGGTGAGGTCGTGAGAGGTCGTTATAATTCACCCAGATCTAATTACCTACATCAGGTTGCAGCGATCTACTCTACTGACAATGGTGTCAGCAGCAAAAGCAAATAATCATGCGTGCACCGTGAATCTATGACAAAAGCAAATTCGCCGACTTCTGTTTTTGGCGCGGAGCTTCCCCCTAATCCCCCAGGCAGGGGGGGCCACGCGGGGGGGGGGGGGGAAGGGCGACGCCGCGCGATTTTTTGACGTTCCCTCTTTTTTCACTTCCCGGCAGTTACTGGGCAGAGATGGGGGTGGCGGGCTCGAATCCCCCCTGGTTTGCCTGGGCTGGTGCTGCGTGGGGGGTCTTGGGCGGTGGGGGTCTTGCGCGTTTTTTGGGTGAGGGCTGCAGCTTTTCTCTAGGTTCTTTTGGACTTTTCTCGCGGTTCTGCGCGTTTTCTCTCGGTTCTGCGCGTTTTCTCTTGGTTCTGCGCGCTTACGTTCGGGCTTCCTTTTCTGTGCCGTGCGTTTTGCTTCGGGTTCCTGGCTTTTCCAGGGATCGTGCTCTTGGTGCTGTAGCTGTTCTCTGGGTTCTGCCTGGGTTTTCTCCGGGTTCTGCGCATTTCTGTCCTAGCTTCTCGTTCTTCGCTTTTCAGTGGCTTTCAGCGTGGTGGGTGACGTCGCGGTGCCAGCGTGGTGGGTGCCGTTTGCATTTTGGACAGCCGCGACTCCGGCTGCGACCATCATGTGGGCGCGCGCCGCTCTTCGGCTAGTTCACTCACCCTGTCCCGCATGCCTTCGCTGAGCCAGACAGACATGGAAACGCAAAGGTTTAGCGCAGCAGAAGTCGGCGGAATGAGCCGGAGGGTCTAAAGTAATCATGCGTGCATCTATGATTGGTTCGAACAAGGCCCAAATGCCCAAGCCAGATTCAAACCAGTGTCAAGTCTTGGCCCACATGCGCTTACAAAAGTAGCCTACCCTAAATCAGGAAATAGTTTGCTGGAAAACCCCAGGAAGTTCCGTTCCCCAGGCGCCTGATTTCGGCCCTCCGGCAAAGGCATACACCTGGGGCTTGAAAAACATTTTACAAATGGCGGTTCCCAACTTCCATTGTTGAAACGGTCGTTTCGGGGCTTGCGAGTTAAATGTATGCCCATAGATTTTGGTTGTTTGGCGGTTCGACCATTTGAAAGGTGTTGTTTCAGGCTGCATGTAGACTTGAATCCGAGTCGTTCCAAGAGTGGATGGCATCCCTCTAAGAAATCGCCCATGGCAGATTTTTCCTAATGGGCGCAATCCCAATTGCAAGGCATAACACGACCCTACCGACCGAACCACTTCACCCCAAACCCTTGCTGCGCTTGAGCGGCAGGACTACGACCTCCAGCTGGTCGTTCACGGACGGCGGCACGGCGGCAAACTTCGAGACCTGAGGCGCGGCACGGCGAGCGAGTGGAGGGAAGTGTCAAAATGGGTACCCGAAGGGTGCCCTGAAACGAAGGTAGTAATCCCCAAATCTAATTCATGTTGAGTGGCCTCGCATCAAAAGCAACAATGACCTCAGTTTAAAGGATGCGCACTTCGACCAAATGAGAAAGGAAGCTCCTACTGAGAAACTTGAGGAGCGGGTGAACGAAAGCTAGCAGTTGTTGCATGAGATGGGTCGGTGACAGAGTGGATTCATAGGTAGCTTGTGTACAACGAGAGGCCCGGCAAGATTCGTAGGATGCGACACGCAAACGCACATGGTGGCGTGGCAAACCTTGAAAAATGAAAACAACGAGAGGCGTCAGAAGCTGTCTTAAAGCACCTCTGGGTTCTGCATGCAGCAAAGATTCTTGCGAGGTGGTTTACCGAGAAGACTGAGGTCTCAAATGAACAAGCTGAATCGGTGGAACATGTAAAAGTTCGTAGCACCAAGTCCAAAACGGGCAAACCGAGACTGCTGAACACTGAGCCACTGCCCGGGGGGGGGGATGGACCAGGGAGGAATCGAGCCTGAGACCCGGGGGGGGGGAGGGGGGGGGGGGGTCTAAATAATTGATGTTTTTCAATCTTTTCGGCTCAAATAATTGAAAAAATCAATCTTTCGGCATTTGAGCCCCTTACCTTGCTTACGCAAGGAGAAACTTCAGCTAGCTAAAGCTAGCTTTCGTGACTAAGGTTGGGATCATGATAGCTGACAGGAAAGTGTGGAACTTCTTCCCTTTTGGGGAACCTCCCTGTTCACTGCCTCAACACGAATAACAAAGGGCGGGGCCCTCTGAACAAACCTCATGTGAGCCAGTGTATGCGGTTACCCTGGAGTGAGCCCCTGTCTGCTACGTACAACTTGATGCTTGTCCCACCCCAAACCACACATAGCCAACTGGAACATAAACAGGGTAGTTTGACTGAAAACTCCCCCGCGGTGATCCCGCGATTCAAGTGTTCAAGTCCTCCCCACACAGCTAAACTGTAAATGAAGGTCGGTCACTCCCCTCCCCAATTTCCAGGTTTAAGAACTGGGCGGCCCACAAAAACCATGTTGATTTCAATCTAAAATGCATCTTGACAATGCATACATAACCCGTTACAGATTAACATGGAACCCCAAATAGCGGTCCTCCAAACTGCGCTTCCTCTGCAAATGACGTTGTTGTTGGTTCCGTGGAAAGTTGTCCGAGGGGGGGGGGGGCGGAGGGGAGTTCACAAGAGATCCCAGAAACCGAGAATCCTGGCTGAATTTGGGCTTCCATGTGAATTTGCCGGGGGATAGGTAAACAATGGGTGTGCTTGTTTAAGGTTCCCGTTTTCATTTTGGTTCAAAGGTATTATGGTAAACCAAAAGAACACCCGCTATTTGGGGGGGGGGGGCCCTTGGATGTCCAAACGGCTTTGCCTCACACTGGAAAAATCGGAACCCCCAAACAAGGTGACCTCAAAAAAAAAGAAAAACGCCACAGACCCAGGGGAAGCAGCCACGGCACATGCAGCAGGCCATCGCAGCCCACTCCGAGGTCCACAAAGGCTCCGAAGGCCACCACGTTCCTCGAAAAGGCTCAGCTTCCCGCTGGTGGTTTGGATTGGTTTGGATTGGTGAGGGTTTCCCATTTAGTGAAACACCATGGGTTCAAATCCCCACGAATCCAAAGGGAAACCTGAACATATCAGCTTCCCCCCAGCGGCTTGGACTGGATCCGATTAAAACTAACCACGACCCGCTGGTTCTTGTGGGGAAATGGGAAACCCGGACACCTCCAAACCACCCAATTACCCTACCAACATGGAAGTGCGCAACCCTTGAAAGACAACATTGCAATTGGATAGGGGCGGCAGTGCACTTCCATGTTGCTGGGAGGGTAATTGTTGGTTTGGATTGGTGGTTTGGAGGTGTCCGGGGTGGTTTCCCGTGTCCCCTTAAGAACCAGGAGGTCAAATCCAAATCCAAATCACCATTGAAGCCCCAACTAGGGGTTGCCTGAAATAGGGGGGCCTAAAACACCATCAATCCGTCCCCCGGTTTGCTCTTCAGGTTTACCCTGGTTTCCGCCTTTTCTATGAGCGCGCTTGAAGGGTGGAAAAAAAGATCACCTGTTGGAAATGCGATTTTAAAGGGAGTTTCTTTTCGGTGGGCTGCTGTTTAAAGGGGAAATCTAGGGAACCCTGAATAAGTTGTCACACTTGAAGACGCGAAGCAGAAACTGCAAAACCCTTTTGAAAGGGAACCTTGGTTAGGAAAATAAAGAAGCCGACGTTCAAAGAAGAAGATGGCGGGGGCACCAAAAGTTGTACGAAGTTTGGCCAAGGTTCTTCACAATCCCTGCCAGCACCATTTGCGGCTTTAGCTGCTCCACCTCAGCGAGCCGAAACTTTCGGCCAAAGTGTGGGCATGGGCCCCGAGATTTCCCATGTAGACCACCAAAGCAAACCTCCATTGGGCCAAAACGTGATGGTTAAGAAAATGAACAAATACGTCTGAGTTGCCATGGCTACATATGGACCGAAACTGGGAAACCAACAGGTTGAAAGATTGATTCGCCTTGCGCAAGTGAAATACAGGGAGCACTGCTAGAGGACATTCAAGGCACTTCGAGTGTCTTCTGGTGGTTTCCGGGGGGAGCGCTGCTAACTGGGCAACGATCAGGTTGATAGACCTGATCTGTATTTTCGGCAATGAGAGGGCTTCTCAAAATCAGGAACCCCGGTTTTCACAATTTCAGGAAGGGAAACCAAAAAGGAAACCAAGCAAATCACACTACCATCAAACCAGTCAATGACGCGTTCGGTCAAAAAAGGAAACGGTCTTCTGAGGTCAGCAAGCCGCCCAACAGATCGGAATTTAAGGGCTCCACTGAACAATTGACGATGTGAACTTCGGATTGCAACAAGAAGGACCACACAAAGCAGGGGTGGCACCTCCTTGAGTTTAGCGGTTTCAGCACGAAACCCCTAAACATGTCCCTTACCTACTCTTATATAAGATACCTAAATATATTCCTTGTGTAACCCTGAACCCTAGACAAGAGATCTTTGCGCTTCTGGGCGATGGTTTCGGGGTGGGATATTATTTGCGTCAAACGATTCCACCCTCCACATCACTTTCTGAGAGGAATGGGCCAAACAAAAAATGAATTTGTCAGAAAGTGTAAGGCTATGAATTGTGTAGCGAACCACCTCAAATGAGGGTCCCTTATGTACGTCCATTGGCTAAAATGAATAGTCAACAAAAACACATCCTGTTGGTTTGAAAGGAAGTATCCAGGGTTTGTTCGTTGATTTTTGTTGATGTTCCCTCCTTGGAAAGTCTAAAACGAGTGCTAAAAGAGCAAGAGGGCGTGACAAATGGTGGAATCCACAGTTAGAGCATCTGGATTGCAGCCATACGATTCCACCCCCCTCTGTTTCCTTCGGAGGAAACACCTCCCTCGGAAACGCCGGAGTGGGCGGATCTCTACCAATACTCACTTCCGGACTTTGTTCGGGTGTGGCCTTTTACAGAGGAACCCTTGGGTCGACATGGCTTAGGTGGAGGTTCATGTCCACAAACATGCCCACCGATTGGAACAATTATCGACACATCCCTTGGTTTGTTCTTCAGGTTTTTGCCGGTTTCCCCTTCAGACTACTCTCAGGCTTCCCTAAAAACGTCCAGATATTGGGGGTGGTCTAGTCAAACCCTCCAACCTGATTTGCCAGGCTGCTGTGATGCCGGCCTCTTGGGCATCCAAAGCCGCCCCCGCCTCACTTCGATCCGTTCGAGGGGCCTGGTTCAAAGTGGGTTTCAACTTGCATCTTCAAGAACCCCTGCGTCAGGTTCTAGTGGACGGAAGGGTTCAATTTCTAAGCAATACCAACTCAAACTTGTTTTCCAGCTTCAACCGTGGTACGTTTCCCTTCAAAAACAACCGCGAGACTGATACCAATTCAACCTATCGGTAGTCTACAAGGGGAAACACGTAATCCACCTGGAATACGGATTCAATCCCTTGGCTATGAGAAGACACCCGGCCTTTTTCGGCAGTTTGAAGGGAACATAACTAACGAGACAGCCAACTGTTTTCGGCTTCCCTTGTAAGGCTTCACGCCCCCGCTTAAATGAATTGAGAATGCTCCGGGCAAATCTCCCGTGGATTTTCCATTCGGAACCGAGTGGGAAATTGTTTTTTGGCACATTTTATTTAGAAGGGGAACCCCTCCAAACAAGGGGCACCACTGCAGGTCAGCGGGTTTACCCTCAAGTGAGCTCACTATGTTTGTGCAAATGGATCCTGGAGGGGCAAGTGCTGGTACCAACCGGCCCGGAATCGGTCAACATGACCTAGCTTCTTCCACGCCGTTGCCCGGCCTGCGGCACGCTTCCCACGCTCTTGATGCGAGGAGCTGGCTCTCTGCACCTCGGAGCCCGATGCCCGGATGAAGCCGAGCGCTCATGGTGAGAGCAACCCTCTCTACAGCTCCCCTTGAAGGTCCATGAAGGGCCCCTCTCAAAAAGCTTGCAAGAATGATGTGTCCCCCTTTGTACCAAGAGGGGTTTGTAGGGGAAAGCACTTCTCAGAAGCCAAGTTAATTTCTATGGGAAAACGGTGAAACTATTCTTCTTTTGTTGGTTAATGTTCACGGCAAGCCTCCTTCCTTTATATACTGCCCAAAGGACCCAGAAATCACAGGATAATGCTTTCGGGCCACTGGACATGGACAACCACAAAAATCAAAAGTTTGATTCGCTTTGGGCAAGTGAGGTCTGGGAAATGATCCAGCCCTCTTCTCCGACCGAGGTGCCGAGGATCTAGATCGCCGGTGCCAGCTTGGATCAGCGCAGTGCAAATGTCTCGAAGCGTCTCCTTGGAGGCTTTGGTTGCTTGGTCGCTTGCTCGGTTGGTTCCAGAACTCGTTTTAAACTTTTTGGGCCTTGACAAGTTCGCCAGCTTGCCGCATGCCCTCCAGACCATGGCACACCCAGCCCCCCAACCCATTTGCAGGAACTTCCCGTTCGAGCTTGGACCGCGCTCTTCACCCCAATGCCAAAAGACTTTGCCGAGCAGCCAGGCCGACCCCCAACTCTGACGCCACCTCGCTGGAGAGATCTTGCAAAGCGCCATTTCCTCGCCGCTGCAGGGCGCGGGCAGCCTCGTAACCTGAAGGTAAACGAGAAAACAGTGACCCCGGAGGCGTTGCATTCGGGTTGAACTGGGGGGTAGCTACCAGTACTTGTAGGAGGCAGCCCGTTGGTATGTTTGGGGGCCATTGGGGCAGAAATTTGATCTCTGCGCTTCAATGGTATCCAATTCACCCCAGGTGATTCCTAGATGCTTGACAGAAACTGGCAAACCAAATCCCATCTTAAGTTGGAGGGGGGTTGTGGCTGGGGTTTGTTGATTCCATTGGGTGTAGCCTTCCCGACAAAAGAAGAACAAATGGAGCCAAAAATCTCACCAAAATGCCCAACTGCCAATCACTGGGTGGTATGCATCCATGTCTGCGCGTGAAACAGTGCAACCTCATCCCAGGCTGCGGGCATGGAGAGTGGACAAGTTTGTTACCTTATAACTGCGGTGGACCCTTCCACCAAAAATGAAATGCGTACAATTGCAGTTGCTCCTTTTGGGCGATAAGGTTCCTGATGGAAATTGGGGGGCTGCGCGCTATGTCCCTGCAGAATGTCCGATTCCAGAACCTGGGATAAGAATCGGACCAAGTGAAGGATCTAGTTCATGTTCGTGATAAATGTCCGCCTCGCTGGACTCACTCATCCTTAAATCGGCAGAGGCTAGTTAGACTCAGATTGCGTAAGGCCAGGCACTTGCTGTCAGCTGCCCAAAGGACCAAAGGACCCAGGAATAAATTGGATAAGAGGTTAACCTTTTTGGGCCATGACTGGAAGCGGACCAAATCAGGGAAACCAGAAAGTGAAAAGGTCGATTCGCTTGTTTCCCCCTTACGCTCCTCTCGGTATCAGAAACGAGTGTGTTTTCCATGCGCAAGCGCCTGGCCATGAGATCAGTTCACAACATCCCTCTGAGACTCAAAAAAAAATCCGCCGCAACAACGTGGACGAAAAAGGGACTCTGTTTCTGGACCAAACTCTACAAACATACTATGTTCTGACTCTGTTTTATATACACAACGCCAACCTGGAAATTTGTTGGACGTGTTTCCCGAGACCCCAAGTTCGTGGGGGCTGGATCCTAGAGAGGTAAATCCCCTCCCGTGACCCGGTGCCATCCGGTGCCATCCGGCGCTCGGCTAAGCAGCTCTCTGGGTGGATGGGCAAGGCGTCCAGAGGCTCCGGCGCCGAAGAAGGACCTCCTCACGAGATCTATTTTCCTCACTTCTGATCGAATGGATTGGCAAAAAAAACATATTGCTGACCGCTAAAATGGTCCAAACCCAAAAAGCGGCCAAACTCGACAAACTCGGGGTGCTTGCAGATACCACTGTAGTAGGTAACCAGGCGACAACATCATGTAGAAACCAGACTTCCGCATCCCCAGTTACCCATTACAGTTGTAACTGGAAGCGCTGGGATGTATACCCTTCCTCCCACTGAAGCACCTGGAAGGTAAGACCGAATTCTCCTCAACGAATCCCCTGTCGATTGCCGGGTTAGAGTGAAATCGCGAAACCATTGGGCAGATGGAACCCTCGAACTTTCCTTCCTTTCCATTTGCTTGCATAATATATTCCTGTTGTTTTGCAATACATTGATTTCACAAAAATACATAGTTCTTGAATTGCCTGTAGCACAGCAAATGACAGTGGGAGCCGACACGTCAGGCTCAAGTTTGACCAAGGTTTCTTCGGGGGTCCTTTGCTTGGATGGTCCTTGGGTGGTTAGCATCCACGGTTGTACCCCACCAACCCATGGTTGTCAGTCCTCTTGGGTTATAACCTAAGTGACCTTGGTTCTAAATTGCCCATATGTCTGTAGTGAGGGGAACCAAAAGGGGATGGGTTGCTCCCCTGCAAACTTCCATACAAACGGCGGCTCTTGGAGTTCCATGTTGATTGGCAGAAGTGTTGAAACCTGAGTGAGAGCCCCTCCAATTCAATTCCACAATAGAGGGCACCAAGTTCATTACTCGGCGCTATGGAGAGAGGGCCGCCTTTTATCCGGGGTGTTTCTCACAATAAGGGTGCTTCCCCAAACAATGCTCGATGTTCTTATGGCGTCCCTGTAAATACCAACCAAAAGCAAGTCCACCATTTTGAGAAACTCCGATTGGATTGAAATTAGTTTAAAGGGAAACCAACAGGAAACCGGTTGCTTTTGGAAACCAAAGAGACCCCGGGCGGTAGGGTTGGGCAACATGCAGAACAACCAAACGAGATTGCTTAAACAATGCTCGGTGGCTGTTGCCCGGCAAAAAGTTTAACTTGCTGTTGGTTGGTACGGGAACACCCAATTTCCCCAAGAGTGAAAGGTTACATTGGAGATCCAACCAACTAGCCGCCAAGAAGTGGTTTCTATTCATGATTAACAGCTCACTTGCAGAGTGGATTGGTCAAAAAGGTCAGGCTTTCTTTGATTGCTGACTCCTACACTGCTGTTGGACATGTGGCATCCGTCTTGACCTAAACCGTGCCTTGAAAGACTCGGAGGAAGCCCGCGGCTTGCTGAAAGCACTTGGGGCCCAGGCCCTTCCTCGAATCGCGAGTGTGTTGGCTGTTTTTGTTGCAAAACATCCATTTGCGTAAGTCCCCTGGAAAAGATATGTGCACTTTTCCAGTAGGAGGCGATGTCCGTCATTGCGAAGCAAATGAAAGCCTGGTTTCCTCCAAATGACGTCTCAAGGAAGTCAGTCAGGGACTTGTGTTGGAAGGGTTTTTTTAGGGGAGATCTCCGATAACCCTTTTGCACAAATAAAGGACACTATTTATCAAGCGCTTGGATCTCCTGGATTCAGGGTGGTTGACTTCTAACACTGGATCAGTCTACCGAGCTGCGCTTCCTGAGTGCATTGGCCCAAACAAAACAAGTCCAAACTTGTTGCATGCCCATCGGGGAGTGAGACATACCAGGGTCCTCCAAGCACCCCTTCCCTTCCCATCCAGGAACTCGGGGAATGAGAAATAACTCAGTTGCCCAAAGAACCCAGAAATAAAAGGATAACCTGTTGGAGCCAATGAAAATGGACCAACCATGGAAAAGTCGGCTAGGTGCGGTCAATTCGCTTGGGCAAGTGGGTAGGAAGTCATTAAAGCACCCAGGATCCATTGGGAGGGGTGAGCTGAAGCGACACGAGCTTTCGAGCGGCACTTTCCGCAGCTGGCTCAAGGTGTTGAAGCGCCCGAGCTCCTCCCGCTGCCGCAGGATGCTCCTCAGCACGTTTGCCAAAAGAAGGGATCCATGTTGAACCTCAACTACTACGAACATGGCCCCATGATTTAAGGGGCATGGAGGCCCCAATACTCTGAAATTGATAAGGCCCGGGATAGCCTCTAGGTGGATGTCACATTTGTAGGAGGGAATGCTTCACTTGCGAAACACCCCTATTCAAAACTTCACCCGGTTGAATTAAAGACCACCTCCCATTCAAACGGGGTCAGGTATGTCCGGAGCTTCGCACCGCTTCGCACCGCTTCGCACCGCTTCGCATTCTGGAATGCCCATATCCAATGAACATCCCGAAGGTTTACTGGTAGCAAAGCCGGGAGGTGGGCATCAGAATTCTCCTGTGTGGGGAACCATCATTTGGGGTGTAGCTCAACCTGACAGCCATCGAAGGGAACGTCAGACTAGAAAGCAGACACACCCAAGAAACAAATATAAATTGCCGAAGCATGAGAAAGACACGGCGAAGAAAACCAAAGCAAACACACAAAAGAGAAACAGGGATGCGAGAGAGACAACACAAGACCCAAGGATTGGGCCAACCAAACTCGTTTGAACATGTCAAAAAAAAAAAGAAACACGTGGTATGTTCACTCAAAGGGGATCGAAAACTGGGCCTCCGTTGGTGTCAGCAAATTAGGCATGTCAAAATAAGAGAACCCCTCCCAACATAGGTATCATAGTTGTCCTTGTGGTGTCCCTTTCAACCGATCCCAAAACAATCCATTAGACTCAAAAACACAAGCCATGTTCTTGTGTTTGCGTTTTTGCGTTGTACAAAACAATATGCAAAAGCCAAATGTTTTGTTGAATTATAAGCAACTCCAACAACACACGCACACACACGCACACACACGCACAGATAACTCTGCCCGACCCTCGCAAAGGCCTCAGCCGAAGGGCTGTGCCCGGGATGCGTTCAGGCCCGCCACATGCTCCAGGAGTGCCGGGGACGCGGTGTTCAGATCCACCCCCACGCAGTTCACGGCGTCCTGGTCTCTCTCCCCCCCTACCATAAGGGGAACAGGGGGGTCCTCCATTTATCTCGTCTTCCCCATGAAAGGGAAAACAGAACAATAAAAGGGACTGCAGGGTTCGCTCATAAGTATCCCACTTCTCGCTCTTCTGCACCGGGTTGAGATGTTTTCCACCGAATCCGAGAGCACTTCCGCAGCCTTCTTGGACAACTGAAGGGTGGCAGCCCGCCATATTGTGCCACCCAGATTAGTTTTACAAGCCCCATCTTGCTGGCAGAACGGAATGGCCTGTGAGGCATCCCTTGTAGTTTCCTTTTAGGGGATCCCCTACTGCGAAGTCACACAACAGCTGAGCAATTATTGACCACCGCCTGTTGGTATCCATTTCGTTAAATATTGGCTGCCATTTAGCGTTGCCGGCCGCGTCCTGCACCGCGCTCCTGAGCTCTTCCTGCAGTCGCTTCTGGTCCACGTCGTGCTGGTACAGGCCCACCCCGATGCTGCGGGGGTCGATCTTCACCTGCCGGGATGCCGGATGCGTTTTTAGGCTGGGTACCCGACAGGTCGATCACCCATGTTGTGGCCCAAAAGGATCCATGAAGATTCTGTATAAGAACTTTGGGCCCCAAGAAACAAGCAATTGGTTGACAAGAATAAGGATCCAATGATTGCCAATGGTTTACACTTTTGCTTTGGAAATGGTTTGGAGGTTCAGACCACCCCTCTCTTAAAACCCGAACCCTAACTAGTTGGGTCCCTTCAAAACTCATTTCTAGGGGCTCAGTTGACCAATCCCTTCCCGGCCAAGGGTGCAAGCCCAGCAAAAATGATATCCTAAACGCACAGGTTGCAAAAGACATAATCGAGGGAAGAGGCTGGATGGAGGAAGGGCCTTGGAGGGTACATCAACAAAATGGTTAAGCAAAGTTCGGTCCGTAGTCATCCAAAGTTGGGACTGCTACGGCCCAGCTGTAATTAACCATCTTACACGAAGTAGCCTCCTCCGCGTGCAAATTGCTCTCTCCAAAGTTCCCCACACCCCCCCAAACAACAAAACAGCCCAGGTGGTAATTATGCCCAACAGCAACCCCCTGCAACCTTTGCCGCCGAACCCTAACCTCGAGCCGCTCCAAACAAGCCCAGAGCTTATTTGGGCAGAGGCCCCAAAGCGTTCAGCTCAGCTAAAAAAACAGTTGCAACAAATCTGGCGTTAATAGCCCCGCAAGAAAAATTGACAATCATAGCCACAGTTTTTGCCTCCCATCCCCTTCCCCCCCCCCACCCCGCCAGCTCGGAGAGCGGGTCCAGCAGGCGCCGCGCGATCGACACGGCGCCCCTCAGCGCTACGTCCAGCGCTGGCAGCTCCGCCCCCGCCAGGCGCGAGGCGCTGTACACGGAGGCGCCGGCCTCGTCCACCACGCTGTACCCCACCCGGGGCTCCTGGCTCAAAGGTTTTCATCGTGTTTGTTTGTCTTTCTTGTTTTTCCTTGTTTTTCTTCTAAAGAATATGATTGTTACTTCTTTTTTTTCTGGGGGGGGGGGGATGGGAACAAGGATGAAGCAATTCGGTGTCTGCCTTGAACTTTTTCCGGCTGTTTGCCGTTCTTATCTGCATTTGGGGGTTGGTAGCTATCTTTGGCGTGTCTTAGGCGGGTGTGCTGTTCGTGCAAGTAACGAGCTCACAACCGCCTTTGGGCAAGTGATGCAGCAAATGCTTTCGACAAGCCCCAGACTTCCCTTCGAACTAGGCTTGGTCGACGACCCAAGGCCTCATCCCTGGTCCTTTGTATCCCAGCCCGTCCTCCCCGCCCGGCGCCCCTTTTAAATGGTAAGCGCCGAAATCCAAGGAATCAGTTAAAGCGGCATCCGCTTCATCAGCAATCTCACCCCGTAAAAATGCGATTGGGTGACCCCTGGAACTCCATCTATGGTACAGTAACCAAATGGGATTGGGTGACCCTTGGAATCCCATGTATGGTTCCATCTTCCCTTATATGGGGAACACTAGAAAAATTGAATTTGGGGACCCCCTCCCCCGCCACCCCCCCAACATGGTAGGGGGGATGTTCCACCAAGCAATTACCTCACAAACCTCGCTGAAGCCCTAGAAACGTCTCGCTGGTCCTCTTTCAGGTGCTGCCTCAACCACTGCTCCGTCTCCCGGCTGCCAGTGCCATTCCCCAGGCTGCACACCTCGGAAGTTGAGCAACAAACAGGTGGGTCTGTCTTACTTGTGGGTACCCTTTTTGGGGTTGGTCTGAATGGAAGCCCAAAGGGACACCCACCATCTTTTTTGGGAGGGTCCCCTTAAAAAACAAACAAACAAACAAACAAGGACGAGCAGATACATACACACACAGGTAATGTGTTAATCGTTTGGGGTCATGACTACATATGGACCAACATGAAAACAAGTCAACAGGTCAACTCTGCGCAACTAAGCATAATGTTCAGAGCGGAAAAAGCAAAACATACTTGCAGTATCGTGCAGTGTACTCAAGGCCTGGTGGATCAATACCGTGGGCAAAGTCCTGCAGTTGGTCACAGCCGTCTTTCAAAGATGAAGAATCGCCTCTGAAATGGGACACCCCCATTCGTGAGGATAGAAACTGGGCTTCAAACCACGATGGAACCCCTTCCTTCCAGGAAAATCAAGGCATACAAAATTTGTGTAGTGGCTATACTGTGGTGGTATTTCCCACTGCTCCCCTGAGGGTAGTGGGGTGGAAAAATCACACAAAGAGCCGAAAGGTGGATTCTGCACCTGTTTCTGGTTGAGACTGCCCCGTGCTCACTTTCGTCTACCCCAGGTATTCGCTTGCCTGGCTAAACCAACAGAAAGGGGCCACGCAAAGCCTGGCTGCATCCAGCTCAAGCTGATTTTAGGCTGAGTCTAAACATGGACTCTTCTCAGACTCGCATTGAATTCCCTTGCCTAAAACAGTGCCAGCTCCAAAACACCGCCCGAAAAGGCCCCCCTTGGATCTTAGACGCCGTTTGGGCCCGGGGACTAGGGGCGCGGAAATCGCACAGCTCTCATTGCCTTCCGGGCTGCCACCCGCGCGCTCAGCTTCCGCCGCTTCGCCGGCGGCTCCGAAGCCGTCTCCGTGTCCGGACACTCCGCGGGCCCAAGGCCCTGCGACAGCAACTCCCAGAGCCCGGCGCTCGCCTGAAATCGGGCAGAGGCTCCGGTCAACCAGCAAGACAGTACCGCAAACAAAAGAAATAAGAAATAGGGAACCTATATGACGAGAAATAAGAAATGGACCCCATGAAAGGAACCTATATGGGTGAAGTCGCACCCCCCCCCCTCCCCCATCCCTGGAACGTGCCGTCCCTATGTTTGCGCGGAAGAGATGAAGGAACGACCCCGAATTGCACCATTCACCCACCCCCGGTCACTCCCTATGAGACGCCGCCCTTCGAGGGGGGATGATGTAACTTACATGTTCCTTGCTTCCCTCGTGTCCTTGTGTTGCTGCTTGTTTCCGCTGAACCACACAGAAACATAGCCCGTAGCGATAGGGAAAAAGGTGCACTCCTTTTTTGGCGCTTCATGTTACAAGGGAAACCCCAAGAACATGTGAAGAAAATTCAGATCTGAACACTGGGGGCCTGGGTGTCTGGGGCTCCAACCGCCTGGGCTTGATGAAGAAATATCGTCTTGGTGGCCAGGACTTGGCCTGTGGAGGTGATGAGAGCGCACCTCGGAGATACGGAACCCTCCGCCCGTTTAACAGTTGCTTTCCCTGATTCTTGGTTGCCCCAGGTTCAAGCAACAGGCTACCAGCGGTTTTCTCACTTTCTACAGGAAACCCTTTCTCTTGCTCGTTAACCTAGGGGGAACCTCCAAGAAACGGAAACATGGCACTGGGTGCCTGGAACCAAATACAACCAAAGGCATATTACCAAAGAACCACAAGATCATGACACCAACACAACCAACACAAAGAGCACAAAAATAAAACCCGGCGAAAAAGAAACAAACCAGGCCAGAGTGAGACACAACCAAAGGGAATGCAAAAGAAAACGTCAAAAGGTCGGCTTTCTTCCATTTGCTCTGGAACGAATGTGAACGTGTCCCTTTAAAACGACAATGACAAAATGAAACCGCAGCTCATTTCAGCAAATGGATTCGCTCTGGGCAACACGTCTTTTTGTTGGTAAGATGGGCAGTGACTTCCGGGCGAACTCGTCCGAAGCGCTTGCAGCCCGTGCGGAAGGCCGGATCCAAGCCCAGAATTGTGGGCTCGGCTTCCGGCGACGCGCCCCAGGCTGGATGGAGCCGCAGGGGTGGGGTCAGCCTCAAGGCACTGCCAGAGGGATGCCCCGATGCCCTGCAACATCCCTCTGGGGTTTGGAGGTTCTTGGTGGTTTCCCATTTTCCTTACGAGAACCAGGGGTTCAAATACAAATCCAAACCAATCCAAACGTTCAGGATTTCCTGAACCCTTGGCACGATAGCAAAACATTTGGCATTGATTAACATGAACTGTCAACAACAGCAAAAGCCCGAACCCCTCCCCTGGCACCTTTCATGGCTCCAACAATGGCTTCCTTGCCCACGTGGCCTTGTGGGTGACCTTGCTTTACTCCTCGCCAGTTCTGATTTGCTCGGATCATGGATTGCACAAGGGCTTGCCGTCTGTGTGAGCCTCACATGTCCTTCTGCGGTAAGGCATATGTGTACAAAGCGCTCTTTCATAATTTCATAGTTGAGTCCTTTTGTTGACAACCATTTCGCGTTTCAATCTCTGGCCTTGGCGACGCATGTGACTCCTTTCGCAGCAGCTTCGAGATAAACTTTACAGAATGTTGCTCACGAAGTCCATCATATGCGTATGTACAAATATCATCAATTGGCCCGCTAAATGTTCACGTTAAAGGGATGCAGGGGTAGCAAGGCTCCCATAACTGGCCGGTGCATGGAACCTCTTGCTTGCTCGTGTGCTCATTGGGTAAATGGTCATGCACGTCCCGCTTCGGTTGGTCCCTTGAACGTCCTATTCTAGGCGGTTGCTCTCTCCAAGGTGTTGAATCCCCACTCAAAGGGGACATTGAATCAACCAGGGGTTAATTAACCTGGTGCAGCATCAAGCTTCCGGAGCCGAGCGTCAGCTTCTTCTTGAGATTCCGGCGGAAGGTGTCGAAGGCTTCGTCCTCCGAGCGGTCCTTCAAACGCCGGCGCCACTCCCTCTGCAGGCTCGGCAGCAGCAGCCGCTTGGTCGCATCCTGTTCGGCCGCTTGGTTAACGTAGGCCAAGGGCTTTGTTCTGCTTTGTCTGCTTTAGTCAAGGGCACACATGTACGATGGTCCCAGAAGTGGTGGTGGCTTGAATGTGATTGATAACTAAAAGTCGAAGTAGGATTCAACCTACAACTTGCTTGTATGAGCCTGGGAGAGAGGAACAAAAAAAAAACACGCGCCGGTGCGGGCATGGTTTCCCTACGGGAATCATCGAAGCAACCTCTCACTCCTCGAGGGCCGCGCTGATCTCTGCGCAGGCGGCTCGGCAGTCCCAAGGAAGGCGGTCGTGTCTCAGGGGCGTGGGGGTCGCTGCGATGGCGGCACCTGCATATTGGACCCAGGCTGAACCTTCACTCACCCACGAAAGGGACATAGGCCAAACATCGCCCGAAGATGATGCGCAAAATGGGAAGCCTTCTATTTTGGGAATCGCTTTGATTTTCAGAGCAAATATGGCAACACAGAATCAACCTTGTTCAGAAGGCGTACTGCTGGCGTTTTGATGAATTAAACCCACACCCTAATGAGCAAACCATATGGCCACAGGTCGATTCGCTTTCCACAAGTCAAAAAGGCCGTGTGCAGCAAAGACTCTCTTGCCAAGAAAGGTGGCCAGCAAAGCGGCCTGGCGCGTGGTTGTGGGAACACTGGCCGGTTCTTTCAATAGGGGGACCCAAGGAAACTACCTAAATTGGTTGCCCCCTTGTGTGTACAAAACCGGAATTCCCATGCGAAACTATTTTATCACTTTCAACGACATTGCCTTGACCACTCGCAGAAAGTGGCAACCCAAAACTCAGTTGGAAGGGGATTCGTTGGTACAGCTGATTATCGAGATATTGTCAGGTATGTTGCCAAAATTTGAGGAAATGTAAACAAGCTGTAAGTGTGTCCTACTTTAGGGAGCCATTTTGGATGACCTTTGAAGGACGACTAGAAGAAAACGAATCTGCGTGGGGCATGGCTTCCCATCGAGGCTGAAAGAGGCCATATGTTGCTTAAGTGGTCGTGGGACTATGTATATCCCACCAGTTGTTCATGGGAGCACTTGTTTAACGGATTCCACCCTGTAAGTCCCTTTTTGTTCGGCGGGAACCCCCCTGCCATTACAGCGGGAGAGCGAGAGAGAGCAAAGAGAGAGCATTTTTGAAACAATCCCAAAAATTAGAATCGGATCAAGTAAAGAACCTTCATGGGGGCGTGGCCCCAGCGCCATATAGCCACCAACGGGCAATTTTGAGAGGCCTGCAGGGCGCGTAGATCCTCCGGCGTCACCGTGAAGTTGAGGCTCAGGCACTTGGCATTTTCACCACGCTGCACCGCCAGGAACTGGTGGGCCTTCACCTGCCACATGGGCACCTCGGATGGGCCTACCGGTGCCACCTTCAACTCAGTTGCAACCAAAGGGCCCAGAAATAAAGGTCAACGTTTTTGGAGCCATGACTACAAATGAAACCTACCTAAAATGAGGAACAAACCTACCAAGTGCAACAAGTTAACTGTTTGCCAGTCAAAAGGTAAAACAAAGGAAGCCGGAACACAAGCATAAAGGTGAGTTAAGTCTGACAATGTTGTGGGCCACTAAAACGATGACGGAACCTACCTAAAATGAGGAAGACGCGTGCCGACCCAAAATGCAAAACAGTTGACTGCAAAGGTTCCAGAGTTTCACAATTGAAGAACCTAGATAAGGATCAGGTCTTTGGGAGGAGTAAGTTTTACTGCCGAAGGGCTGAGTGAGTAGTATATGCAGCCCTTGGTTAACTGACCAGTGAAAAATATCCCATCACGAAGCTTAAAGTCTTAGAAAGCCGAAGAAACCTATGGACAAAACACCAAAAGCCCTTGACACAAACGATGAACATGAAAGACACCAGCGACATACGCTTTTCAAGTTCCTGACGCCGACAGTACTTGTTTAAACCCATGGAGAAAAAAAAAACACAACCAACGAAAAGCAATGAAACAAAACAACTTAACGGTCAAGGACAAAGAACAGCCTAAGCATTTGGCAGCAGGAAAGGCACAGCAAAGTCCCAGTATGTCTTGAACCGCTCCTCGATGTCCGCCCCTGCCTGCGGGGCGGCAAAGGGCCACATGTCCCAAAGGGTGTCTTTTTCGTTTGTTTCACGGGACGCCCACAGAAAACCAGCCGTTCTGTGATGCTTTCCTCTTGGTTTCCCTTCAAGACCATGCAAGCAGAGGGCACGAGCATTCCCTGTTCAAGCTTTGTGGGGAATTCTAAGCAGAGACCTGGCTTTGGCCGTGGCGAAAGCTGGTCTCATTGTGTAAGGTCAAGTAGTAACCAAGGGTTGTTTCTCTGAGAAGGGTCCTCCGGATTCATCCGAAGAAACACTCAGTTGCCCAAAGGATCCAGAAATATGCGGTAACCTTTTTCGCGATCTTGACTACTATGGACAAAAAAGAGGAAGCGAAAGGTGGGATTCGGCCGATTCGCTTTCGGCAATTGAGAACAGCCAGCCTTGCGGCGGGAGCTGAAGGTGACCTTCCGCTCCAAGATCTCGCGCGCCTTGTGGCGAATGTCCGCGCGATGCGCCAGCTGCTCCGCCAGGATATCCCGGGCCGCTGCCAAGGCGGCGGAGATATCCGGCACCTCCTTACAAGGTAAAGTGCCTGCTTGCCTTTAACTGGGGCCTCCTCCGATTGTTTCTTTGAAATTTGGGGCTGACAAAATATGGACTCTGACTAGACTTTTTCCAAGTTCCAGGGTTTGCCAATCATGAAACAGAATCATAACATATTGTTTCTGTGGGCGGTGTAGCCTTTGACATTTGACGATCCTGTGGGTCAGCGTTCCTTTAGGTGGTTTAGATTCGCGGTGCTTTCCCAGTTACCGTACGAGAACTCGGGGTTCAAATCCCCAAACCTCCTACTATAACTAAGGGATACCAGGAAAACTGGGCTGACTAAGGAGCCCTAATCCTTGTCCATGATCCATGGTTGACACCGCCACCAGAAGATGAATAAGGAAGTAAGGAAGGATTGATTTTGTGCCTTGTAGAGCAGCAAAGGTCCTCCCTGCTCTCAGGGAAAGGATAGGAACTTTCATGGACCGGGTTCCGATCAAAGGGTTCGGAAAACCTTTCCGGGGGCAGGCGAGAGATCCCACTGCGTCTCTCCTGAGAGACAAACTGGGCCGCGGCCGCTGCAATTGGCTCAGCCGGTGCAATTGGCTCAGCTGCTGCAGCTGGCTCCGCCGCTGCAGGTGGCTCCCCTGCGATTGGCTCCGCAGCCGCGGCCGGCTGCTCTGCTGCAATGGGCTCAATGGGCTCAATGGGCTCCATGGGCGCCTTGGCTTTGAGCGCCTCCAACACAGGGATGGCCCCCTTGGCCGCCTCTGCCAGAAAGGTTGCCAAAGGCTCCAGGCCGTGGTCCTTGGCAACCTGCGCCCGGGTCTTCTTCTTGGCTTTGAAGGGCGCCCACAGGGCATCGATGGCCTCCACGGTCTCGGCCTGGGGGTCTGAGGTCTGGTGCTTCTTGATTGGTTAGAACACCCTGTTTCGGCCGAGCTCTTGTTTTTTGATGCTGCAATTATGGCGTACACCAGATACAAACGTATTCAGTCTCCTTCTAGTGCTCCCATAAGCCCGAACACGGAGTCGTAGAGAAACCACCCCGCCTGCAGCAAAGTCTCCTGCAGGCTGGGCGTGAGGTTTTGGCCGCGGTGTAAGGCCGCCGCCACCCGGCCGCGGCGACGCTCCAGGTCCGTGGCCCTCGCCAGCTCACGCTCCACCCGCCGCAGCGCCTCCTCGCCCATGGCCCCCGTCTGCTCCTTGCGGTACCGCGCGATGAAGGGCAGCGTGGCGCCGTCCTGGAAGAGGCGCACGGCGCCGCCCACGTGGCTCGAGTCCAAACCCACCTGCCGCGCAACCCATCCGGCCAAATCTTGAGCCACCAGCGACGGGCCGCCCAGCAGCTTCTGCGCTTCCGAGACGTTGGGCGTGGCGCACTCTGAGCTGTCATCCATCTCACCCGACTTGGCCTTTGGGGCCGGGTCCGCCTTCTTTTCCCGCGGCCTCTTGCCGGATGCCTTGCCCACGCTCCGGCGAGCGAAGCTGCGAGCTGCGGCCTGGGCATCGCTGCAAAGTGAAATGGAACCCAAAACAGGGGTCAGAAAACAGATGGAGATGCTGCGGGGGTCTGTTGAACCTCTAAGCCAAACACAGGTGAAACGTGAAGGGTTAGCATGGTCTTCGACATTACATGCCCCCAACTCCATGCGAGGCTGTTGCCCTGGTCGGACTCAGAAGGCAAAGTTAACCTTCGGCGCCATACAAATTGGGAAACTAAAAGGACAAAGGTCGGCTTTGGACTGGGAAACCACACCAAACACCTCCCATCCTTCCCTGCCTTGGTCTCCCTGGGCTTCGCCTTCTTGCTCGTCTTCGCCTGTGCCTTCGGCTTTGCTTTCGCCACCTTCACTTTGGCTTTTGCCTTTGCCTTTGCCTTGGCTTTCGACTTTGGCCGCGCCTTTGCTTTCACTGGCTGTGGCCCTCCTGAAGTCAACCCGACTGGGCTCCCACAAAGCCACCTGGCCCGCACCTTTGAGTCTCCAACATTAGGGTCAAGCTCATATCGAATCACTTAGGTGGTCATTTCATATCACAAAAGGTGAAGCGATTTCTGGGTTCGCCTGGCATGCTACCAGCTAAAAGAACACTGGGCAGTATATACCCCTTCTGTGGCAGTGTGTACCCCTTTTGTGCAGTTCATGATCAATTCATCCCGAAGATGGCTCCCTACTTGGGAATCTGATCCCAGACATCGTCCTTGACACAGCTGTACATCCAGTTCAATAAATATCACAGATGGGAGACAAGCTCCAGTCCTGCCAGCGTCATGCCCTCGTCTTCCTGCGAAGAACCGCCGCGAGGAGCCCAAAGCCCAACTAACCAGCACAAGCGGCCAATCCATTTCTGGAAAACCCCAGAACCTTCCCCCGTTCCCTTCTAATGCTAACGCATCTTGTATCAGCATGCGCCTTCCTCCCCCTGTTTTATCGTTACTTGTGTGCGTGTGTTGCACCGGGGGGGGGACGCATCGACTTCAGTTGTATACTGCAGTGGCATCTGGTTCATGTCTAAATTTATCCAGCTGGGTGGTGCATTGAGGGCCTGGAATGAACGGAAGAAGACAGCAATTTCCAGGTCCCCGCAGGTGGTAAATTGAGGGTCTGAGAAATTCAGACCACTCTATCCAGGGCGCTACGTAGAGGACCTGAGCAAATCAACACATGTCTATCCATTTCTTCCCTTTGCTTGAATCTCCAAGACATACACATATTTCCAGTAGTAATAGATTGCCTTGAAAACCAACATGGGGGAAGTACAATATTCTTAAGCAACTGGGAGTTGTTTGGCACCCTTAGGATAATTCATTCACATGGGTGTGTTATCACAGGCCTGAACTTCGGAGTGCTCCAGAAGATCCAATCCGAGAACTGCCCTTCCCACCTCCCACCCCAAACACAACAAACACAAACGGGAGCTCGAAAAAGGGCTTGCGGCCTGCGGCATCCCGTCTGACCCGGCCATGGCTTGCGGCACTGCTGCAAGGTTCATATTGGGTGTGTCTTTCTTCAAGGTGCTGATGACTCGGTTCGAAGGTTTTCCTCAACTCAAGAGTTGCCCAGCATACCAGCTTTGCAAGCAGAGAAGTTCGCGGGAAAGTTTTGGACCGTCAGGTTCCAGAGCGATGTGTTTCACTTGATCTGAAAAGACAGTCAGCTCTTCTGGCAGAGCCGTGGGGCCGCGCACAAGCTCGCATCATTCTTGGGGCCGTAGACTCCTTGCCCACCGATTAAACAACTAATCAGCGGCGGTGCCATGGTCTTGGGGTCTACCAAAAACGAGGCAGGAAAATCACAAGGTACAAACAAGAGTTCCGGCCGATGCCCTAAGTGTTGCAAGTAAACGAGCGGGTGCCAATCTTCGTTTGTTTGTAAAATTAAAGATTATTTAAAGCATCCACCGTCCCTCGCAGCCACGTACGTGGAACCCAACTGAAGGGGACCCCATGGTGGGAGGGTCGATTGCAGGATCTGACCGTTACCGACTTGCAATTACATGCAGCCGGCAACGATACAACGCGGCTTTGACGACCAATTTCACGGGACTGCCCTCAAACACGGCCAGCATGGATGATAGTTGCATATCAATCTCCATGCAGGGTGCCCCCCACCAAGGTTGCTCCAAACAAAACCCTGGGGCACAAGGCTAAAGATTGGGCCCCCGCAAAATGGAAACAAGCGAACAGCAAGCCAATGTTCTACCCTTGTGCGTTGAACATCTATTGCTCGGAGCAACTCCGCACATCTGCCACACATATCCATTCCTGACATGCAGGCTCGCCTTATTTTCACTACCAGCCGAACGCCTTGAAAGCGACAGCCAGACGGCAGCCTCATGCAGCTGCTTGCCGCATCGATACGATCTATGCAGGGATAGACGGTGCTGTTTACAGCATATCGCAGTTGAGTACATTGGGCAAGTCGCCGGCGAACCACCGGGGTATTCAATGGTCTGTCAGTTGGCTAAATTGCTGCTAACCCTGGTTATAACCCACTTAAGGGACTTACAAGCAGAGTAAGCGGGTTATAGATCCCTTAAGATAGTTATCATCGTGGTTACCAACCACTTGGCGATTCGCCCCGCAAGAGCATGTGCGAAGCCTTCGTGGCATCCTATCAGTTCTGAGCCAATGCTGGTTTGGTCAGCCAACCATATCCATTCTGGATTTCTGGCTCCCCCAATGCATGCCCCGTGCAAAAATGCGCTCTGCCTTGGGGGTTAAAAAATTCTCCGTAAAGCCAGAGACCTAGGCGTTTCGAAAGCTACGGCTGTTTGCCCAGGTTTCCATACAGCTCAGACATCATCTCGCGGCCTCGGTTCGGAATTTGTACAAGGTACTTTGACGCCTTCCTTCAAAAACCATCCTCAAAAACAGTACCTGGGCCCTCTGGGCAAAAGCCTCTTATGTTCCCAGCGGTTTGCTAGCTTTGACCCAGTGTCCCGTCGTCAAATGAGGGTTGCCCCCCTTTTGGGCACATGTTTGTCTCTATGAAAAGGTGACACCTGCAGGCCGCCAGGGCCCATGTCGCTGATCACCTGCCCCAAGTTTACGTGTTTGCCGACAGGTGGGCGCAGGGTCCTACTTTCACAAGGGAGCAAGGGTAGCCGTGGGGAGCTTGCCCTTGTCATACGTTGGCTTGGCACCTTGAAACCAACACTGATTCAGAGCCGACTCGCAGGGGAGGACCATAGAAATGTGATGAACTGTCAGTCATGGTTTATCAGCCCCTCAGTTGCCCAAAAAACCCCGAATTTTGGTTACCCGTTCGGGGCATGACAAAAACAGGGACCAAATTGGGAAAACCAAAAGGTCAAAAGGTCGGGTTTGGGACAAGTGAAGTCTTGACTGGCCGGCTCATCCCCATCGCCCATCAAACCAGCAAGCTCAGACGAGCCAAAAGCTTGAACAACCCAGGTCAAGAATAACATATTATTGGTATTCCGTCCTTCTTCATAGTATTGAGGCCATTTATACAAATCTGGAGAGACCAGGCCAGGTTTGAATCAAACTCCCAAAACTTTCTTGGACAACTCACAACATGAAGCACATGTCTATGCTTGCCCCTCGGCGCTCTATTCCGCTTAGCGTTTGAATGCCGTGGGCTGATGCTGCTCCCGCCTGGCAAGCTTGCGCAAGCAAAGGTAATATCGGGGTCTGACTTGGCAGCATCTCATAACAGGGAGACGCCAACCATTCTAAGCAGCCCGCACAGCTTCTCGAATTGCTCCAGCGTCATGCCATCGTGACCACCGGCCTTGGTGGAAAAGCCACGGTGAGTAGCTTAAAAGCCAACTTGAGCCCGCAATGCTGCTCCAAAGGTCTGCCCTTGGGTTTTGAACACCTTTTAGAGGCTGCTAGCACCCATGCTCTGAGTGTTGCTTCACACTCCTCTCGGCAGATTCCTGATCTTTCAGCACCTGCCAACATCCCGGAAAGCTCACTTATGGTCCATAGTTAGTACATCTCACGGCCACCATTAGGCCCGCTGCAAAACGTTGGCTTGCTGCTGCTTGGAATGGATAAAGAAGAGAAAACACACAAATGGAAAGGCAACGTGTTTTGCCTTAGTGCCCAAAGCACCCAAGGAGTAAAAATTGCCAAATCAGGGAAACCAAAAGGTTGAAGGTCGTCTTTGGGCATGTGAGTTGCTGGTTGAAAGAGAACATGCTGGCAAACCAACAGATGCAACCAATGAAAAAGGTAAGCTCTGGATGCTTAGAGGTACTCCCGTTTTGGAGTCCCGTCATTTGGACAAAAGTTGATGAAACCTCCGAAACGTTATTTCCAAGCGAAGCCTAGAACGCCAAACCAAGCTGAGTGTGTCTTAAAAATGGGGGACCCTCAAATGCATAATGTTCTTTTGGTTTCCCTCTAGAACGACCCAGGGTATCCTCAAAAAAACCACACCGTCAAAAAAAGGCAAGCCTCCCCGACAACGTTCGCAGCCGCATCCGCCCAGGTTCCGGCGAAGGAGTAGGCGCGCTGCTTCACGGCATCCAGGTGGGCGCCCTGGCGATGTGCCGTTCGCGACCGGCGCGCGGTTGGATCACACATTTGGGGGCTGTTGGGCGGTGGTAAGCCGAACTTGGGGGGAACAGTAGCCTGCTATCCACTAACTTCAACCTGACTGGGGGTTCCTGGAAAACCGTTTTCCTCTAAAGGGGACCCTTGAAGTGGGTTCCATGGCAACGTGGACAAAAAGGTGTCAGTAGTTATTCAGCCCCTTGAAATGCAAGTAAAGTCAAGGACACCTTTCAAAAATTGAAGTAGTCATGAGAACCAAACAATGGAGCATGCCCGTTTACTTGGAGCTAAGGGGAGCCGACTCGCAACCAAATGCTAGGGACTAGTGACCAGGGGCCATTCAGAACCAAGGATCATGAATTTCCATGGCTCCGCGTGTTCTGGCTTTGAACTGGTATTGGAAAAGCACCCGGCGGATGGTGAATGCCCCGAACATTGTAGAAGGGAACAACGAAACCTTCTAATTTACCGCGAAGGGTTTTGAAGGGCCCCCCCGGCCCCCCCAAAAAACAAACAAAAAAAAACAAAAAAACTGGCTGGCTGTTTTTCAAACCTCCCACCCACAACCTGCTTGTTTTGCTGCAAAAGGCTCCCAACTCTCAAACCAAATTTGGAAAAGGGATCAGCCTCCCATACTCGACCCGGTCACAATCAAGGTTGGCCAGTGTCCCGAACGGTAAAAAAGGAAATGGAACCATGCTTATTTGATGTCTGATTCTGTTTGAAGTGAATCTGGGGAACAAAACGGACAATTTTTAGAGGGTGACGGCCGCAACCGACTCACCCTAATTTCTATTCTTTGAGGAACAACATTTTAAAAGGGCTTTACAAGGGGTTTGCGCTGGGGTAACTTGGCCTCCTCATTTTGGATATCAGGATTACTGCACAAGCTGCCTAACCCGGGTGTAGTTTATAGCCGCATCCCTTTCCAACACAATCCGACGGCCACGTGGCCCCCTTTTCGGTACTGATTTCAAAGGGGCCCCCCACCCCCCGAGAACAGCTTGACAGAAACATGGGAAACTGGGTGTCTCTATCATCGTTTCCACTACTGCCAAACCATCCCAAACCAAAAGATATACAAAGGTAAATAGATGTACCATATACATCTGCATAGTGGCTCCAAATCCCATTAAACGCATGGTGGCAGCTTCTCTTAGGGGTAGTGACCCTCTGAAAGACACAAAAAGTGGGGCATCTCCTTTTTCCATGTTGTTTGTGAGGGCGTTTCCCTTTGAAATCCCAACAAACACTGAGTGCAGTAAAGTGGCATCCTCAAACCTCCCTGCATGGTTGGGGCAAGCGTCCGATGTAATTTTTGCCAACCTCTCAAATGTTCACTTTAAGGAATGTACAGCAAGCGCTGTACTTTGAAACTAACTTTAGTCATGGGAGCAAACTAGTAGCAATCATTTCGGGCCTTACACATTACCAACTAATTCAGAGACCTCAGCTTGAGCCTCACACTAAGTTGAACCAGGGCAACGGGTGCCCAAAAGGGGTACCCTTTTTTACCATACACTTCCATTTGCTTAAGTCCCCTGGACACCAAATGCATATTTGCAGTAGGGAAATTGATTCCCTTTGAAAACCAACAGGGGAACACAACAAATCCACCGGCGCTTTTCTTCGGACGCCTCGAGCTCCACCTTCAGCCCGAACTGCTCCGCGAGGCCCTCCAGCGCGTAGGCCTCGGGAACCCCCGAGACGGGGAGAACGAGGCGTAGTTCCTTAAACGTGGCGAAATGTGTCTCAGTTTCCCCTCGGACCCAGCAAGAAACAGGTGATCACTTGGTAGGTACCTTGACAAACCAAGGGGACACCAAAAAAGTCGGCTTTGAACAAGTGAGTCTATAGTGGTTGTCTCATTAAACCCACGGGGGTGGTTTGGGGGTAGTGGACTTTGACTGAAATGATGAAGGCACCTGACAGCACAAAGTTTGAAGCTTCACAACTCACCAGGGAAGATATAGTGGTGGTGGACTTGTGGACCTGTGGACCTGCGTCTCTCAGACGGACTGTCCGCAACGGAAGCCAGGAAAGGGGATGTATCCGGGGAAAAAAGCAGGACGGACAGGTGCACTATTCACGGAGGTGCCAAGTTCTCACCCCTTTGCTGGGATCTCCACGGTGTGTTGGCTTGTTTGCACCACTTGGAAACTGCAAGGTTTTGAGAAGAATCGTGGCTGAACAAATGCGGAATCTGCCCCTAGACACTTGCCCAAAGACGCTTTGACCTTTGATCTGTGGATTTTCATGTCTGAGCTATGTTGTCCACAAGTCAACCTCTAGGTCCGTTTGGAAATTGAGGACAAGCGAGGCCAACAAACGTGGAATCAACCGTATCCTGGAAAACTGCTTGGATGTCCAGCTTTCCAAACTTGTTCAAACATGAAGTTCCCTTTTTTGTTTAATCAACGTCCTTTGGGTTTCCATTAAAGGGGACCAATGCTTGATCATTCAAGCATGTGCCCAGCTTTGTTTTGCACCTTTCCGCCTACAGAGCCTCACCTCCAAAACTACATGAAGGCACCTTACACCAGGGTGAAATAGGGTGAAAGTAGATGGCAACAAATTGTGCAACCGACTCTCACCCAACTATACCTCTGGAGCGTGATGCTGTCTTCCATGTGCAGTAGTTCGCTTTTCCGGGCAGCCCGTGCGGAACCGAGAACTTTGAAAATCTTGGGCGTCCCGCTGCATGCTCCGCGGGAAGGACCTACCGATCGATCCGGTTCGTGACTTCGCGCGGGGCCTCGAAGGACATTCAGCTGCCCTCTCGTTGGTGAAAGGTTTAGTGGTTTGGACGTTAGGGGGGACCACAACCCCGTTTGGCTTCAAAAGGGACTGGGGTTCAAATTCGCCAAACCACTATCCAAAACACTAACTAAAGGATGTGTGCGTGCCCAAAACCTTGTGAAGAATCGAAAGGCGGATATCCACAGCTACTTCTGGCGATTGTGCATTGCTACCTTTTGTCTACCCGGGGTTTGCCAGTGGCTCACCTCAGCTGTTGCCCAAAAATGGTCCTGGTACATGCCCAGTCCTCGAAATTTCAGAAATGCAAAGGAACATGCCCAAGATAGCCTAGATTTGAGTTACATGCAGGGCTTCTGATGGCTTCTGACTTCAAGGCCGGACATCTAAGCAAGCCATTTACATAAATTTACATGCGAGATTGTACTGATTCTGCCCTTGCACTTGGTTTACCATCTCTTCTCAGATGAATCTGATTTTATGACATCACAAGTGGTCGGAACCACGCATATATAAGCATTTCTCGAAGGTTTCGTGCTCGCAGTCATCTATAAACCCAAGGGGTAATACCCAATTCTGTCCAGGCAGCCTTCTGTCCAAAAAAGCACAAAAAGGGGAAAGGCTGCTACTCGACAAATTAGCATGGAACCCAAGAAGGGCATCCTCCAAAAGGAGACTCATGTTCATTTGCGGGGGGGGGGGGTAGATGAACTGTCGTTTCAGGCAGGTAGTTGTTCAAGGGCAGTGTGTTAAATGGCTCCAACAATCCAAACCACGGCGAAGGTGTGGTTTGAAAGATGCGTCTTCCGCCTTCTGCCCAGGCAGCAAAGCGCTGGTCCACACCTTGGCGCTGGGCCCCGAGTTTTCACGCAGGGACATAGTAGAGCACCCTACGCATCACCCGAACGAAGCTCAGGCAACCAAAGCCCAACCCAACCAACGCAACCAACCAACGAACCTAGCCCAACCCAACGCAGCCCGACCCGACCTGACCCAACCAACCCCAGCCAACTAACCGACTTAGCCCAACCCAACCCAGCCCAGCCCAACCCAACCCAGCCCAGCCCAACCAACATCCAACCAACCCGGCCCATCATTGAAGCGCCGCTTTCAAGGCTGCCATGGCCTTCGACAGAGAAAGTCACCCTGGTGGCTTGGCCATCCGAGGCCCTGGCCGACTCGGCTTGCCGGTGCAGGGCGGAGGGTTCAGACCTGCGCCGGCAAGCCGACGCGCTCGACATGCTCAACACGCGCGCGCGCCCAGCTCCAAAAATGTGAGCACACAACAGGGGTGCCTTTATTTCCAGCTAGTTGGGGGTTTCCAAGAAACTGGCAACACGGAAACAACTGCGCGCCCCTTTACCCTTCACACTGAAGGTAAGCAGCCGGATTGATATTTACAGGTACCTGCGTACATATGTCCTTTCACGCATATGTTTGCTACATGTATGCATGCACGTACGCACAGATGGACACATATTGCAATGTACATGTGCAAAGAGGGTGGATGAGAGTTTTCTAGGGGGAACCAGGGGCATGAATCCGTTTTTTTTGTTTTTCTCCTTTGACCCCGCCCCGTTTTCGGTGCACCCCGCTCCCTCTGCATATGTCAGGTATTAAGCACCTTGGACAACCAGGTATCTCATAGCTTGCCAAAATCAATCCCAGCATGTGCGCAGTTGGAGTAAACAGTGTTGTCCGACTAGCGAATAGGGACCAACGATAAATCAACCTGGCCAATGGAGGGGTGGCATCCCCGAAGCTGACCAACATGTCCACCAAGGCGGAACACCCCTACAAATGAAAAGAGGGGGTTTGAAACCGGGGTTCTACTGTCAAGGCCAGCGCGACGCCTTTCTCATGCAGCAACCCCAGTATTGAAATCATGCCTGCAACCACACGCAGACCAGGAGCTCCTTCTGTACAAGCACGGAATTGGAGCGTTGTGTGATTTCCCGACTGCGAGCGACTTTCCGCTCATACCCCAGCTCGGACGAGTGAAATTTGAGCAAACAGGGAAGGGCCTGAAGGCTGGTGTAAATCTCATCCAATTCCGACCGCGTGCCGAAGCTTTGCAGTGCTGGGTTCACGTGCACTGAAGGCTTGCCTCATGGCCAGCCACTTCTGATTCAGACTGTTCCACTATGCCTTCCAGCACACCTACCCAAGACTCTACAAGCTCCCCCGCATGGCCTGGATCCTCACCCATGCCCTGAGCGCAGCTCTTCTTGGCTTTGCAAGGTGCCCAAACAGCATCGATGTCCTCCATGGTCTCGGCCTGCCAGGGTGGGGTAGTTTTGTTGCAGCCAACGCAAGCTGAAAAGGGGATGCTGCACCTACACTCCGCCTTTCTAAAAACGCCCCACCTGCAGCAAAGTCTCCTGCAGGCTGGGCGTGAGGTTTTGGCCGCGGTGTAAGGCCGCCGCCACCCGGCCGCGGCGACGCTCCAGGTCCGTGGCCCTCGCCAGCTCACGCTCCACCCGCCGCAGCGCCTCCTCGCCCATGGCCCCCGTCTGCTCCTTGCGGTACCGCGCGATGAAGGGCAGTGTGGCGCCGTCCTGGAAGAGGCGCACGGCGCCGCCCACGTGGCTCGAGTCCAAACCCACCTGCCGCGCAACCCACCCGGCCAAATCTTGAGCCACCAGCGACGGGCCGCCCAGCAGCTTCTGCGCTTCCGAGACGTTGGGCGTAGCACTCTCCGAGTCCATCTCTGCAGTCGTGGTCTTTGCATGCTTCGCCGGGTCGGTCGGGTTGACCGCCTGCGCCCGAGGCCTCTTGCTTTGGCCGAACGGCGCCCCCATGCTCCGGCGAGCAAAGCGGAATCTGCGCTTCGCTTTTGCCTTCGGAGCCTCAGAAACACAAGCACGCTCGCCTGCCCCGACAACAATGCGGGCTTCACTTGTCAGGACCGTTGGAATAAAGGTTGGCTCAGCATACTTCAAATTGGTGGTTTGGATTGGTGGTTTGGAGGTTAGGGGGAGGCTTGCCCTATAAAATTCCATGTGTTCAATCCAAGACACAAACCCAAGCCAACCAAGGGTTACCTTTCATGGGATGACTACAGTACGGCCAAAGCGGGAATAGCGAACCGGTCCGAAGGTCGGCCTTGGGCAAGTGAGCCTTCGCTGGCCCAGTGACCCTGGTAGAACAAGGAAACGTATGTTTGGTTCACAGGTTTTTGCAGGGAACCCAAGAAGGAGCAGGGAACCCAAGAAGGAGTCTTAAGGGAGGAATCTACCGAACAACTGGGCTTGCGTCTTTCCACAATTCACGTCACCCTGCGCTAAAGCTGAGCTCACTTCCTAGTCTGAACTCAGTATAGGGACACTTACATTTGCAACTGAAATGATCTTTCCAAAAGGTTTCAAGTACAGGAACTCGGGAAGTGAGGAGGGGAACAACCCCCCTCTCAATATCCGGGGTCATCAGTCGAGGTGCGGCCCTCGTTGCCCTGGCCCGCACTTTGGTCTTGGCTTTGGCCGTCCGTGCTGGCGGGCCTCCGGGGCAGCAACAGCACCGGTCTCCATTTCACTGCCGAGGTCCCCAGGCTCCGCTTGAAAGTAGATTTGATTGGGCTCCCAACAAGCTTCCACTGGTCATCCTGTATTCATGCTAGTGGCTGCCGTGGCTTGCTTTACCCCAGAATCAACAGGTAGGGGAGCCTGATAAAGTTGGACGGCAACTCCGAAACGCAACGTTCAACAAAGCCAAAGCAGAAAACACAATGCGCTTGCAAGCACACAAAGATGTATCGCCCTGGAACAATTTTGATTCGCAGGGGCAGGAAGGAGTTGCCGAGCATTATCATAGCACCAGCAAAACCTGTGCAGGACCCAACTTCTAAAAAACCAAAATGAAAGTTCATCTTGGGTACACAGTATTTTCCAGTCATCCCGCAAGAGCAACCATGGGAAGTGTAAGGGCATCCCTTAAGGGATGTTGACTCTTACCCGTACCTCAATTGGGTGGGAAGTTTGCACAAGTGTCTTAGAAACGCACGAGATGGGACAGGTAAATGATATCAACTATCTTAGCCAGACATAGATAGACAGCCTGCATCAAGAAAACTGGTTGCCGGTCGGAAGAAAACAAAGGAACTCCCAAAAGGCACGACATCTAAAACGGTAAACCTTTTGCCTCCTGGCCTGTTTTGCCCACACAGACTTCCCGCAGTCCTTGCGCCGGCTTCTGCTCGCCGTCCTGTGCAAGCGAAGCATGACGTTGCGCAGCAGCGAGTGCCAAGCGACAGCAAATTAAAATGAACCCACACACACACAAGTACTTAGATGGTCTGGGGGTTAGCTCAATGGTTGCCAACCATGTCTATAAGCCACTGAACCGGGACTTACTTCTATGGTCGGTGGGTTGCAATCATGGTTGCTATGCACTTGGCTAAATCCCAGACCATTTCGGTACATCTGACGAGACATTTGTTTTGCGGTTCTGCACGCCCCTCCATGCTTCCGTGGTTCCATGTGCACCATGGTCAAAGCTTGTTAGGTGGGGAATGGCCATGCCTTCATTCCACCCACCACGGCCCCTATTAAGGGGTGATGACCATCCAAACTGATTGAGCCCTGTCAATGGGCGGACTTCCCTTTCCTTGCTGGTGGCTTCCACTGCCTCATGAGGTCCAAAAAAGGGACGAGCGGTTCTACACAAATGGGTGTGGCTCAAAACTTAAGAGCTAGGGCTATGCAGATTCTAGTCTTTGCTTCCATTTGCCAAGATGCCATTTTTCGGATTCCATCTTTTGAGCCACAGCCAAATGGACCAAAAAGCACTGTCACAAGCAGCACCTTTGGAGCTTGCCTGCTGCCATTGCCTGGGAGAATGAAACGTCCACCGGGAAAACCCCCGGCCCATCACTTGCATCCAGAGGACCTGGGAATAAAAAAGCGATCACCTTTCCGGACCTTGACTAAACACAAACCTGGGAAAACCATAGGACGTTCAGTCAACAGTTCGAGTCGCTTTGGGCAAGTGAGAGGTATGTCCCCCTCCCTCCTGGGAGGTTTGCTTCGGTTCGGCGGCCCGCTGCAAAGTCCGGCGCAGCCACAGCAAGGAGCTGGCAATCTCTGAGAGGTTCGCGTTCGCAAGGTCCTGGGCCGATTTGTTCTACCTTTTCCCAAAAGGAGATTCCTCTACACGTGAGGTGCGCATCACGCTGCTCCTCTTTCAGCTCGTCTTTGCAAAGTGCGCTGGTGGTGGCGCACTCGGCCGGCACTCCGAACGCTTCCGTCGGCCTCCAGGCTTTGGCAAAATGCGTTCAGTAAGCAAGTCTCTGGCTCGCTTCAAACGGAGACCACAAGCTCGTGGTGCTAACAATGCCCTCTTTCCAAGAATCATGGAAGCACTTCAGGGACCAAAAACTGTCTTCTCACCTTGAGCAAAGTCAAGACCTTGAAATCAGCGAGTGAGTTGTATTCTCATGAGCCACAATCAAATTAGACTAAGAATGGTAAGGGACAGTCCCAGCTGCCCTGTCGAATTTTGTACATTTCGCATACCAAGTTTTGATAGTGACTCACATTGTTTTGGCGAAACGGATCCGACTGGGCTTCTGAAAAGCGAACATAGAATGCACAGGGGTCCCTTCAAAAGGACAATGGTCTTCCAGGAGCCCCTGTGCAGATTCTTTGTTTCCTTTTTTGGGAGGGTTGCATTTTGCCGGTTTGTAGGGAAATGAAGGAACACCAAAGGCAACAAATGGGCTAAACGGGGACTTCCCTCATGGCCATGGCATGGTCGGCCCCCCTGGCCTCGCTGCCGGCTTCGCTTTTGCCTTAGACTTGGCGCCCCTCCGCAAGGCTTTGGCGACCTCGGAGCGCCGCTGTGCAGAGGGGGTGACTGTGTTTTGGGGGTACCCTGTTTTGGATTGGTTTAGAAGGAAAACCAAAAGGAAAACCACAATTTGTAGGGCCCACCATTTTGACACAATCCCAAATAGATCCAATACTGTTTGATAGCCATAGGGGGGTGACTAGTTCTTTGTTGGGAGGGGTGCTTGTTCTGGCCAAGGAGCAAGCGAAGTTGCTTTCTCCTCCGCCTGCGACGTGGTGTCAGAACTTACGTACTCAAACTGAAATTCAGAAATGCGGCCGGGGGGGTAGCGTAGCAGGTTTGAAACAAATGTCAAACCAACCTACAGTAAACCAACCACAAGTTCCCAAAGGTCGAGCAAAAACAACGTGCCCCACTTGGGACACCGTCACAGCCTGGGCGGAAAGATGTCTCAACCCCAGTGCCGCCGGGCATCCCAAAACGAGCCCCCGCAAATGATTACCTATTGTCCCGAACAGGCAGGGCAGGGGGGCTAGGGGTTCGGGGATATGATATTTGGTATAAAACCGCCTCTTTTGTTCACCTTCCTCGCGTGGCTTCTCCTACCTGCAATTGGTAACTGCAAGCATTAGGGTGAGATGCTCTTCGGACGTGTCCATTTGCTTTGAACCAGTTTGAAGTGGTGCTGGGCAAAATCTAAAACTCGACCCTTCCCCTTCAAAGGGAGAAAAGGATGTTGTTTAACCATAGTTGTGGGAAATAATCTTGTGGTACCAAAGTGGGCATCCCTACTTAGATGGTCTGGGAGGAATCGCTAAAGGCTAAATTGCTACTAACCCTGGTTGAGACCCACTTAGGGGACTACCATAGTGGGGGACCACAGTCTTTCGATTCATCCCATCTAAGTTTCAGCCATATGGCTTCAAAGGCTTGACGCGAGCCCGAAGCCCAGCGTCCCCACGCGCCTCGCAGCGAAAGGGAGAGCTCGGCGACATCTCTGCCGAGAGCTGAGCTCAGCCCGTAAAAGTCTCGAGCCGAGCTTGCAACTTGATATCCAGATTTTGTTTAGGGACCGTGGTGGACACAAGCTGCTTCCGTATTGAATATGTCCAGCACCCAAAAATCATCCCCCCAAGGGAAACTCACCTTGAATGGGCCGAACAGGTCCCAACACCAACAGCGGACAACGGAACTTTAGGCAACAATGTCCTCCTGGAGAACGAAGACTTGCGCGCCTTTAAGAAGAGCAACAGTTCCGGCAATGCATCCCTTGAGGCGGAGGTGGAAAATATGCTCCATGCAAAAGGCAAGCTGTTGGATGAGCAAGGGTTGGAGTACGATGTGAAATGCACCAAGCAGGAGCTGCTGGATGTTTACAACCCCCACGAAGGGAAATGTGACCCCTGCTTGTTTGTATGGTGCTTTTCTGGCACAACCTCTAAACGGATACCCTGCAAGAATACACACCCAAACAGACTAAACAAAACTAAGCTAGACTGTTTCAAGGAGGCCCATTTTGCGGGCGATCCACAAGCAGGCTTCACTTTGGGTTGCCATGTTTGGCCCGTGGTAGGTGATATGTTGGGAGGAACTTCAATTTGTGAATCCAGTTTTTAGGGACCTCAAGTTGTGGTAGGTAGATCTTACCTCCTTCCAATCATGGAAGCCCACGACCCGAGGGCTTGGAAGGCTACCATACTCTTGCAACGGCCCGTTGTCTTTCATGATTCATTGTTGGACCGAGCAATCCGGGGGTGAGGGCCGCTCCAAAAGTGGTCGGAATCCCTCCTACAAGGGGACCCCGTTTACCCTTTTCGGGGATGGTTCGGCGAGCATCCAAGAACAACTCCCCAAACCCGCTAACGGGTGGGCCTGTGGTCGGGACAAGTCCAAAACTTGTTGCTTACCATTAAAACTTCCCACAAAGCTCAAAGCATCTCAAAACCAAAAACCCGCACTCGGGCATTTGAGTGATTCTTTTAATGGCCGAAGCGGCAAACTTCCCGCTTCCCGCTTCCCACCCGGGTTCCTAACATGTCCAACCTGTAAACATCCGCGAAATGCGAAACACACCTGTGACCAAAAAGGTGTTGACAAAGGAGATACATGAATTCCAGGGCCCGGACAGGGCGGATTTCAGCATGCTCTTGAGGTCCGGCTCAGAGGGAGCCTGGGCCTGTCAAACCCAGTTCCCAGTGTGTCGACTCCAGGAAGTGAGAGTAGTAGGTAACCACAAAGGGCTCTTCCCTTTGGCTTTCAACTTTAGAAATTTCCCCTGGGTTGCCTACCGGCCCTATGCTTGAAATCAAAAGTTTTTGGGAGCTTTCACCGACCTGAGCTGTTAAAAATGGAATGTCGCCCAGTCCGACTTTCCATAACCGCGGGAAAACCACTTCAAAGGAGTTGGACCAAAACCGCTGGTAGCCCTCGGGTAAGAACTTTGCGGTTTGCCCCGAATGAGCTGCCCAGACTCAGGCATCATTGGGAAAGGGCATCTTGGGGAATACTGAACGGTCCAACAAAGGGGGTCATCCCACTTACCTGTCTGGTTGCCCGGACCAGTCAGGGCATACCCACCTAAACGTGCAAGCCCTCAAGTACCTTTAAAAAGGAAACTGTTCTCCGTAAGGGTCGGGTCTTGGGGAGCTTCCACGGAATCGCATGAGGGTGAGATCCAATGACCCGCGGACCAAACGGACATAGGAAGATGGGGTTGTCTCGGTTGTCCCCCTGATTTGTTCTTTGTTAATGAGGAATGCTGGTTGTTCCCCCTAAACTCTCACACCCACACGTTTTGGACAGGGTTCAGAGCCAAACTCCACAGGCGCGCAAACAAGTTGCTGACCCCCCGTCAGCTACGTAGATGGTCTGGAACGAATCGCTGAGAGGTTACAGTTGCTGTTCAGTATTTCAGTGAGTTACAAGCATTTAGCAATTCCTCTCATGTCTTAGTTGCCCAAGGGCACCGGAAATAAAAGGCGACACCTTTCAGGGCCACTAAGTACGGACCAAGGGAGATCCAAGAGGTCAGATCCGGTCGATTCGGTTTGGGCTACTAAGATGGACTGAAATGCGCATAGCTCTGACGGTGGGGCCGGAGCCCCTAATTCCATTTTCCGAGTTTTTTTTTTACAAGAAAGAGACATCAACCTAAAAATCGGCTTGTCTCCAAATACAGCAACCTCCCAAAATGGGTCGTCCTCTGTTGGTTTCCCGTTAAAATCATGGAGTTCCAGGACACTGCTCTCCCCCAATTTGAGTTTTAAGGGGGTGGTGATGTCAGAAACACTTCAGCTTGGTCAACTGACCACGCTTCCCAGGCAATGACAGCAGGCTTGATGCGTAGCGACATATCATTCAATGCTCGCGAGCAACTCGAACGAATCAGCAAAATCAAAGATTACGTCCCACATTGCAGCTTGCCTTTGTTTGATGCTATGGTTTTGGGCTTGCTTTTTGAAAGGAAAAACCAAAGGGACACCGACGCCAATTTGGGGGTATGATTCCTATTCTAAGACACCGTCACATGATGTAGGAAAAGCCCTGGTTGAAATCGATTCTCCCAGTTTCTGAGTGACTCCAGTGACTCAAGTAGGGAGAAGATCACAAAACGAACCCTTTGTGGGTAGATTTCACATTTGGCCAGAACTTACCCAACAAAACTGGGAAAGCGCTCGAATCCACTGAGCGACTGGGTTGTATTTGGGGTCAAAGTGAGATCCTCAAAATGTCTTTCTTAGTTGTGGGCAAAAGGAACGCCCCCACAGAACTTGTTGGGACGCCGGGACGCCCATGTTGACTTGGGCCCCAGGGATCCCCAGGGAGATGAGCGGCTCCTTGCGGAGCATGCGGTCGCGGTCAGGCGGCAGAATCCACTTCCTCAGCGAGCCACAGCCCGACAAACGGGCAGCTCACTTTGACACCCCCGGGAACAGTAAATAGAACATAGTAAACAGAACCTGACACATCCTAACAAAGAGTAAGCCCTGAAAAAAGAATGGGGTCTGCGGCATGGCTTTCGGCTTTCGCAGTTGACACCTGAGGTGAGCCCGAAAGCCATCAGAGTACAGAAAAATCGGCGAGGGCGGTCTGAGTCTTGAAACGGCGCATGGGAAAAACATCCCGTGAGTCCACCTTGAGTTTTGGACACCAGCCTGGCAATCAACCTGTAGACAATATCCAGCACCTGTTGGGACACAGGATTTCTGCCACGCATCCCCCTTCCCCACAGCACAACTTTTCCAAGATCCAGTTTCCACAGTTTCCGCAACCATTCCCGGGTCCAAGTATCTTCTAAACGTTCCTCAAAGGGTACTTGGACCCTCCGGCAATTTGGTCAAATGACCCACTCAAAAACCAAGAGCCAGCCCCTCCCTCTCCAACGAAAAATCCAAATACCATCAGCGACCCATGACGACCCCTCTTGGCAAAATCACTCTTTTTGGGGGCTGAGTTTGCAATGGTTTGAGGAAACCTACACTTTTAGGAGAACACATCATATGAGCGAGGACGAAAACAAGTTGACTTTGGGTCTACATGGTCATGCAGTTTTAACACGGCCTTAATGAAAGCACCGCAAGGGCAGGTAGTAGAACAACCTGAGCTTGCCTTTGGGCACTGCTGCTGGTCCTTTTGTTTTAAAGCCCGCATTCTAACAAGCTGTATCCTGTCAGCTGAGATCAGCACACCCCCGTCTCTGAGAGCACCTGGGGAAGCAGAACAAAAGCCAGACTGAGTCATGGTCACCATTGTTCCCCAAGCATCGTACCATGTCCTCACTTCCAAGGGCCCAGCCCAAAAACGGATAACCTTTGGGGTTGGGGACCTTCACTAAAATGGACCAAATCTGGGCAAACAGGTCAAAACGTCTTTTCGGGGGAAGTCGGTTTTAGAGAAAACCCTTTCCAAGGAGGATCGCTACGAGGACCCCTGCCATCCCTTCCAAATCTATATGTTTCTAGGGGAAGGCCGCAGCTAGTTGTGGCGGGCCTGCCCCTACGAAACTTCAACTCTGGCTAGCTATTGCCCCTGCACTAAAAATGCAAAACTTCTGCCGGTTAGTGGGAACACACGCAAGCGCCCCGAAAGTTGAAGGTTACACTTCAAACAAATAGCGTCCACTTCAGTTTCAAATGTGGCTCAGCTGAGCCTTTAGCAAGGCATATTTAGGAATAGGACTCCTGGTGAATATGGTGGATAAGTGGGGCTTTCTCGTTCTATCAAGGTTCTGTCAAACTTGCAAGTTCTTCTTGCACGCACGTGCCGCTTCTCTCCGAATAGTCCACTCGATGCCAAACCCTCGAATGGGGGGGAGCTTGGGGTCCCATGACTCACTCACCGGCTCCAAAGGTGAAAATGAAAGGCTAACCTCTAAGCACCTTGACTAAGGATGGACAGGAAAAACCAAAAGGCTCAAAGGTCGCTTTGAACAGCCAAGTCCAACATGGGCATGTCAAAACAGGCCCCCCCACCCGCAAATGGTGGTTTTCGTTAAAACGGTACCGAGCTGCTGGACAAATCAAAGCCAAAAGTTGGAAAGGTTACTGAGACTCCGGCCTTGAGGCTGCCGGCTGGCACATCCTAAGTGAGGCTGAAGAGCACTTAGTTTGTCGTCCGAGGGCTTTGCGCGGGAAACAAGCTTCTGGAAAACAATGATTGTGAAAAGTATGACTTTGCAGTTGCCAGCTCCCCATATAATTACTCTTGCGCAACGATTCCCAACTCCTGAAAAGTGTCCCACGTAGAGGACACCAACATATCATGGTGTGCTCGTTTACCTCGGGTGAGCTTGCCGAAAAAAATATGCAAACATGATGTCAACTCTCATGGGTACCCTCCACCCCTGACAGGGGGTTCGCGGTATGGCTCAATTTCTCCTCGAGGCACTTTGTGGATTGCTTGCTGAGCTGGTTTGCAAATTCTGGGCCCCTCGTGAGGAACTAGAGAAGAAGGGACACCCCGTGTGGCAAAATTTGCATGGCTCATGTCCAAGTGG